ATTATTTAATGAATGTCAACATTTTAAATATGATAATAAAATAATATACATAATATAAGCATAATTTTACTATCTATGTCGTTAAACCCGTAAGTAACTTTGCTCAACTCTAAACGATAGTGATGATAGGCTACGATGGTCAGACAGTAGCTGTACGTATGTGTATAGTTCGCGTAGCTTGGGAAAGTTTCATCAGTAGTTACAGAATTGCTTAGCCAGACAAGAAAACTTTGAGGCAATTTAACTATACTTGAAAATACAATTTTTTTTTTTGTAGGTGTTATTTATTCAATTTTTTTTAAACGGCTTTTCACAAAGAATTTTACTATTTTCAACACGATTTTGTTTTTTTTTTTAATTCTTTTTTTGTCTTTTATTTATTAAACAAATTAAAACACAAGACTGCACTTTATATACAGCAGGATGAACAGGTAAAGGTGACAGCCAAAGAGCAATAGATTGTTCCGTTTACACAATATCTAAAGTGATTTTGTTTTTCATAGACAAATAAAATAACGACATAGTGGGTCAATCAATAGTACTCGTATATATTATCGGATGAAAAATAAAAAGTTATGACCAATCAATTATAATTGAGGTACTTGTAGTAGTGGTTTGTTTTTATTTAAAAAAAAAAAATAGAAAAAAAAAAAGAAACGAGTGAAGGATTCAGTTGATGATAAGAAGAGAATATAACAACAATTGACGTGTCAGAAATGTAACGATTGATACTGTACTCATGAATGAATGTTGAATGTCCCTTTCAATGTCACCGATGGCTGAACACTGAGATAACATACACTATCTTCATTCTACATTGACACATTGTATATACACTCAAAAAATAGCATATAATACTCGCGATAGTTTTTAAACTTCATAAACACGAGTATATCATAAACGTTAATATCGGTTAAATTTGTAAATCCTCCCGTAAAGTTTGTTGTCAATAGATAAAAGTGTGAATGTACATCGTACCCATACATGTATCTGATGATTACTTATTTTAGTTGTTGTTGTTGTTATTGTTTTTGTTGTGTTACTATTTATGATGAATAATAATGAGTTATTTTAAAATTGCACTTGGAATGATAACTATTAATCGAGAATGGAAAAATTGGCAACTCAGTTAATTGAGTTTATCAAAAAAGTAAACATGTCAGAATGTAAATAATAAAACAATTAATAAGAATAATACCAATGATTGTATCACAATAATCGATCAAAAAAAAATATATATAATATAAGAGTTTTCTTGTAATCCTAGTGAATCTAAACTACAACAGCAGTAAATAAATATAGAAAACTCACCCGATGTGGCAAGGGCGATCGCCGCCATGAGGGTCCAGCAGCGTTTCATTTTTCTGCGTGATCCGAAGGGGTGAAAAAAAACCCCTATGTTTTGTGTTGTCACGTGGTCACCTTACGAATAAAGCGTTCCTAGAATGAGTATCGCTCGATGACAGATAGAGCGTGCGAGCTCGAAGACAAGAAGAAGAAGAAGAAGTAGAAGTTGAAGTAGTAAAAGTAGAAGAAGAAGAATAAAAGTGGACGAGCAATATTAAGCGCGTTGTTAATAAACATTTTCACAGGGTTTGTTGATGATTGATAAAGTGGACACGTGACCAACAATGCACTCTCGACCGAGCACGACTCGTGGCCCGCGTCTTTCTTTTCCTGATACCTTGTTGGATAATAGATTTGGTACGACGTTGAAGACAAATATCGTCGCACCAACCTTTACTTCCGGAACCTACTACTGTTATTATTGTTGAATGCAACATTGTGAACCGTCGACATGGTCCCAGCTCACGCCAGTAGCTGACGCACTGCCATCCAGGTCATACGATACAATGGATCTGACCAAACCGCTCACTCTTGCTTCAATCTCTCTTCTCCAGCTCGTGCTTTCACCCCTCTGGCCTTCAACAGCACTTGACTATGCCAATTACTAACAACAGCACCACAATTCTAGGATTAAAGCTGCACACATTTTTAGCCTCAATTGATGGATTCCCGTATAATTATATATGTTTGCACAGCTAATTATGAATCCCGAAGTCTTTCAACACTGATTTTTTGTGCCAGATGCACCCCCGTCGACGATCAACGGTGGACTGATATTCATTTAGTCACAGAGCGCAGCAGTTTGCGCTTCGCAGTTTCCCCTTGATTGTGCGGCCCACATAACTATCCCCTCTTCACTGTCAACATCTTTCAAAAGGGAGGGAATCAGTTAGTACAGTACTGCACCCTGCCAGCTACAGTGTGTGCTAACATCCCCCGAAGAAGAGGGAATCGTTACTATGGCGAGATCAATATAACCCAAATGCGCATGTGTTAGCTAGCTCTTTCATTCCACCAGCGAGCTTTCTTTCAGCCTGTCTACGACCGTAGCTTGGTGTCTTCCTAACTGCCAAGACACCAACGACATGAATCCCTAGCCACATGCTATCAGTACGTAACAGATGGATCATGCTAACCAGTAATCTTATCAACTCCCTACGTTACTCCTCCACTATATGTATTCCCATCTCCCTTTTTTGCTACATTTTTTTATTCGATTTGAGTCTCAATGCTAGCCTGGCAGTTCTACAAAAATAGTTAATGGAGTGTTATAGTTAAAGGGTGTTCTTGATTGGTGATTCAATTGTATTTGCGTGGCCAACTGAACAGTTGTGCTGTTCCAGACAGCTCTCTCATACTACTACTCTTAACTACCACTGATTTCGAATACCAAAAAGGAGCAGGTGGAGCAGAGATAGAAATTACATACTGAGTTTACCACGTTTCGTTAAGAATATTTACTCCTCAGCAATAATAACTTTTAAAAAATTTATAAGTTGATGAAGAAGTCAAATTCGTTATTTCAAATAAGTTTAAGAAAAAAAAATATTACAGCTTCTATTAATCGAATATCTTTTTAGTATTATTCTATTTCAATATAACTCTTTTTAATTTCGAGTTCGTATTCCAGTTTTCGTTATTAATTAAATACATCACGAGATGTATTGACTTGGCTTTCATTTAGTTGGTACGTCAATTATTGGTTGAATTGCAATTTACTGTATTGGTTTTTTTTTTGTTTATACTAACCGATGAAAATAGTTTTGAAGAAAAAAATTTCATGAGAATATTCCCTATTTACTGACCTCATTGACTTATGTTTTTCTTCTCGCCTTCTATTACATATAAAAATGTTAATACCTGTAGAAACTGTATGCAAATTCTTATAACGAGCTTACATGTACAATGAAATAATTGGATAAACGCCAGAATTATTCGTTCATTTAAATTGCAATATCCATTTCGAAGATTGCATATCTCTGAATGTATAATACGACTACTTGGACTTGGATGAACCAACATGTAATTTTCCCCGTTCCTATATAATGACCTCAAGTCGCGAATGAATGAGTAGACATAACTCTTGGTATATAATCTATCAGAATTATGTCACGTCATTTTCTAGGTTGTCATGTTTATTAAAATTGTTATTTAACTCTCAATTCATTTTTTTCTGATTCAATTCACATGATGATCAATCAACAATACAATTTTTAAGTTCAACAAAAGTTACTTAGAATTTCTCTTATCATAAATTTAGTTCATTTTCTAATTTATTTATTGTAGAAATTTTTAAAACTTTATTGAATATTTAAATGCAAAATTTCATTTAATTTTTCAAACAGAGAAAATTTCTCCCAAAATTATTATTCTCAAATTGTAAATTAATATTTCTTATCACTTTATGCCAAAATTATCAAATAAATAACATGTTAAGATGTAATTAGAAGCTCTTCAATTAATATTCATTTATTTTTAATTCACAAAAATGACTTTAATTAAAAAAAGATAATTATCTTAATGAATAACATGTGATTTATTTGTGTTGACTAATTCATCAAAAAGTATTTTCATTTAAAGTTTAATAATATAATAAAATTTTTATGGACAACATAAATAAATTGATCAAGAATTGAATGATGTACACCATCATAATGTTGATATAGTAATTTAGTTTAATAGTCGAAGTAAACAACTGATTTATTCCTGGCAAATTAATTTGCTAACAAAATAACCTATCAACTATTAAGCAGGTTCATGAAATTTTACTCAAATGCCTAAATTATATATAAACATATACCATTATACCTTGATATAAATACCTTGATCTTTGGTGGCTGCATACAGCATCATGTTGAGTAGAAAATGTGTTGAAAATATAGAATAGTCTCACACTTGAACTCTTGAAGAACATATTTTACTGAACTTATTGAATGTTTCTAATTATTTAAGTTCTTTTCAATCCACAAATAAATATAATAATTGATTAACACTGATAAAAAAATTTTACTTCAAACTACCAAGCGATAAACTTTATGCTGTGCTACTCCAATAACTAACTGCTATCGCCATAGGTTTGTTGTCGATACATTTCTGGCTGTAGATATGAGTTACAACTGCATATACATATAAAAACGGTTTACGTATATAAAAATGATTAATATAGACATTAATTAAATTGATTATAATCATCAATTATTCATAAAAAAGTATAATTATAAGCCACATAATTGACCCACGATGAGCACCGCTCCAAAATTTTTGAGTTTCGTGGAACTAACGGAATAAATAAATGGCTGCCAGCTCTAACTAGCGAAACTTACTAGATAAAATATTTAGGAACTTTATAAAATAACTAAATGATAAAATTGATTAATATTTAAAAAGGGTTAAATGTCATATTTTTTATAATGCTAGATATTTTATGAATGACAAAAAATTTTTAAATGTTACCGGATATTCTATTATATATTTTTTTTCGAACATTCCAACAAGATATTGAAGAACGCGCCGGGCAAAGCAACTAATATGGCGCAATAAAATTCGCTATCTCCATGCCGCGCTTTTGTCGCTCACTTAGTTTCATTATAAACCGCTTTTTTGACATTAATAGGTGTCGCTATGAACGTTAATGGCGAAAAATTCAATGTAAATTGAGCTGTTTTTATTATTGTTTAATTGTAATTTTTGCAATAATTAGATTTCTCCTCATATATACTCCTTTACCAGTATCATTTAAAATTTTCTTCTGCGCCTGTCGACTTCGACTTTGGATAAGCTTGTATTATTATCAAACAAATTACATTTATATTTTTCTTATGATGCTTCAATAATCACTATCAAGTATTATCGAATAATGGTGATCAGTAATATTTTTTAAAATTACAATTTACAGTGTCTGTCATTCATTTATGTAAATATTATATTAAATATCGAAACAGTTATAAGATCAAGATATTGTTTTATCAATTACTTGTAAGTGGCTTGGTACAATCACATAATAAGTTCATGCGAAATGTCGACAATGGAAGGATCATTGAGTAAATGGACAAATGTTGTTAATGGTTGGCAATATCGGTGGTTTGTACTTGATGACAATGCTGGACTTTTATCGTATTACACAGTAAGTACTCAGTGATTCACTTTTCTTTATTGAATCTTTATTTATCTGCAATGATTAACTGAATAAAGAATAAATCTACATATCTTGTTGTTTACTCAATTTCTTTATCTCATTTATATTAAAATAATTTCAGAGTAAAGAGAAAATGATGCGTGGAGCTCGCCGGGGATGTGTGAGATTAAGAGGTGCTGTGATAGGAATTGACGATGAAGATGATAGTACATTCACTATTACAACATCTTCATCAAAGGATGATCCAAAAACTTTCCATTTCCAAACTCGTGATGGTGAGGAACGTGAACGCTGGGTACGAGCGTTAGAAGATACCATCTTACGACATTCTCACACGGTAATTAAAACACTTTTTAATTAATATCTTATTTCTTAAAACAATGACATTATTTAGTATATTATAAATTTTTTTAGCGCTGGGATCCAAAAAAAACGTTACCAAAACATGATTTTAATCGCAAGGTAGCTGAAGCTGATGCATATCTTCAATTACTAATAGATCAAATGAAAGTTATAGAAAATAAACAAAATTCTTTAAAAGATATAGACGAAGAAAAAAGTCAGAGATATGAAACTATTTTAAATCATGCGAATGCTGTACTTAATTCTGTCAAACATACCATTGTTCAGCTACAAATTGCTAAGGTAAATTAATTTCTTATCTTCTCACAAAAACATAAATTAACGTATTTATCAATTATTTTAGAATACGGCCATTCCTGTCAATGGCATATATCAAGGTCCCACAGACATTACTAGTACATCTTCAACGCAACTATCTTTTGGTAATTGTAAATAGTTTTATTTTCATATTCCTAATTCAACCATATAAAAGCTTTTTATAATTAAACATGAGCATTTTGGTAATTACACAAATATTTCATATTAGTTCCAGACAGAGAACCGGAGACAGTAGTAGAAACTGGCATCGAATTAGGTTCAGAATGTTTAGAACCTCGATTACCTCCCGTTCATTCAAGTGGTTAGTAGAATTTTTGTTTAAAACAAAGTTGATATCTGTAGTAATCTTTAACACAACTAAGTGAAAAAAATTCTATTTTCAGTCAATACTCGAAATTTATCAGTTCCTGAATTTTCATACTCTTCATCAGATGAAGACGAAGATTTTTTCGATGCTGCAGATGAAATTTCCAGCCCAACAGGAACTCAAAATCATAGTCAAAGGTATCATCTAGATTTGCAATCATTTACAATCTATTTGCAGATTTTATTTAATTGAAAAAAAAATTATATGCAATCGCTAAAAATCTACGATTTTTTAAAATTTTTAGTATTTATTACATAATTAACTATCTTTTAGCATACCAAATAAGCCTACCGATCGCTTACAAACAAAACAGGAAACTTCTAGTCTTGGTGAAATCCGAAAGCAGCAATTTAATGTCAGAGCTCCAACTAAATTGGATGGTTCTGTAGATTACGATGGTAAGAAAACAAAAAATTATTAAATTTACATAAATTTGTTACCATCAAAAAGAATTGAAATACATCTTCATACTTGATTATAAAGAGAGAAACGATTCAAATCTTGGACAAGATCCAGGATGATAGCATTGTTTTTGACTTTATCAACGAACCAAGTTTATTGATTATACATACTCGCGAGTATATGCAGACAAGCACACGAATAATGACGCATCGTGACTATTCTTATCATTTGACAGAGTGTTATTACTAAAAATTACATAATACATCATTAAATAAATAAATAAAAACAATAAAAAGTGCCAATTATTATGGATTTCTATTTTCCTTTTTATGGAAAAAATGACCGACTCTTGTGCATCTACCTGTGAGTTCCTATCTTGTCAAAATGATACAGCTTTCATTTTTTTTTAATAATGCACGATTATTTATTATTAATGAAATATTTATTATATGATTATTAGTATTAAACAATGTTTACTTAACCTGTCATTAATGTTTAATTGATAATTTGATTTTTTCCAGCACTGTACGAGGAAGAAAGCGAGCCAGAAAGTAAGAATTTCATTATTTTAATGATTTTTGATAATAAAAAGATAATAAAATTGACTGAAAAAATAAATACTTCGTTATTTTAGTGGATTCAATGGAGAGTCATGGCTCAGTAATAAGCCATCTGCTATCACAAGTGAAAATTGGGATGGACTTGACGAAAGTCGTACTACCAACATTTATTTTAGAACGTAGATCATTATTAGAAATGTATGCAGATTATTTTGCTCATCCCAACTTGTTTTTAAGGTAATTTATTTTATAATTTTCTAAAAAAATCTATATTTATTATGTAATTATTTCATGTGTGAGATGTAATAATCTTTTGAGCATTAATTAATGTAGTGTAGCAGATATGCCAACTCCTAAAGATCGAATGGTCCAGGTGGTTCGATGGTATTTAAGCAGTTTTCATGCTGGTCGTAAATCTGGTGTAGCAAAGAAACCTTACAACCCAATATTAGGAGAAATTTTTAGATGTCATTGGAATTTTGACAAATCATGTGGAGGAAAAGAGGAGCTAAACGTAACATCATCAACAAATTCATCAAAAACCAGTGATCCTTTAAGTCCAGTACCTTGGTGTGAAGATAATCAACTTTGTTTCCTTGCTGAACAAGTATCTCATCATCCTCCTGGTGAGTTGTCTTTAATCTTATTCATCATTGATTTAATAATATCCAATAAAAATCCATAATATAAAGGTTTTACGATATTCTAAGAACGTTTTAATTTATTACAGTGAGTGCATTTTATGCGGAACATCGTGCTAAGAAAATAAGTTTTAACGCACATGTTTGGACTAAGAGTAAATTTTTAGGATTAAGTATTGGTGTCCATAACATCGGTAAAGGATGGATAAATGTATTAGAGTACGGTGAAGAATACGTTTTAACTTTCCCTAATGGTTATGGAAGATCTATATTAACTGTTCCTTGGATTGAACTCGGCGGAACAACAACTATTACTTGTGCACAAACAGGTTATCACGCTAATGTTGAATTTTTAACAAAACCATTTTATGGTGGAAAACGTAATCGTATTGTTTGTCAAGTAACACAACCAGGCGAGAAAAAACCCTTCCTTGTTATTAATGGAGAATGGAGTGGAGTTATGGAAGCTAAATATAGCGATGGTGTAAGTAACTTGATATTTTTTCATCATAAACATAAATTTTATAAATTAATATGTATTCTAATTATATAGCAAACAGAAATATTTGCAAACGTCACTGAAATTCCAGTAGATAAAAAAATAGTAAAACCAATAAGTGAACAAGAAGACAATGAATCAAGAAAAGTGTGGAGAGAAGTAACAGTCGGCTTAAAAATTAATGACATGGATAAAGCAACTGCTGCAAAATGTCTTATCGAACAAAAACAACGAGAAGAAGCTCGAATTCGTAAAGAAGCAAACCTCACATGGGAAACTAAAGTAAGTATAAATAAGTATAAGTACTTTTCATTAACATAAATCATCATTCTTCTCAATAAAAAAAGTTTGTAAATTAATTTAAATTATTAACCATTACAGTTCTTTAAAGAAATTAAGGATGGTGGATGGATGTATCACGCACCACTTGTTACTAGATTAACAAATACAACAAATTTAGTGCAATAATTGATTTTTAGTAATTCATTAAACATAATGAATACTATTGGATGATTGAAAATGATCTATTGTTGTCAAAGAATAAAATGATCATAAATGCATATTTTTTAGCCGTTATACCACGAAGAACAAACGTCAATGTATGAAAATATTACTAATATTTATTATCGTTATAATTTCAAACATTGTTATTAATCGAAATAGCAAAAATTGCATGATTTTAACGAAAAATAGAAGTGCACCTTTATGGAAATTCAATGTATTTCCTGAAAACAAAATGATGATATTAGTAATTTCGTCTAATTATACAAATGGTCTTAAATAATTTAACAATTGAAAACAACTAAAGTAAAGTAGTATCAAAGTCCAAAAAAAAACAAAATTATTATGGTAAAATGTTATTTTTTTCTCTTACATTATATAACTGATACAATATTCACCTATAAATCGATGCATCGGTGGTATTCGCTTCGATGACGATACGAGATATTCTATTCCAGCAATAATACATTTCAAACTAATTTGGCACATAACTAAATTTTCACTATTTACATTCTCTAACTCAATTTTAGGACAGTTAAACAAAACTTTTGTAATTTTTTGTTCTTTCAAATTTACTCCCTTTACTTCGTCAATTACTGAGTCCGTAAGAAGACTAAGATTTTTCTCAAGAACTTTTAGTAATAAATATTTAGATTGATTTTGCTCATTTGTAAAAAAGCAAATCTCTTTCTGTTTATCGTCATTATTGACTAAGAAATATTTGAGAGCTAATTGAAAATCTGTTAAAGGAGTATTTACATCAACTTTAAAATCGGAAGATGAATGTACTTGATATTCTATACAATGACACCAAATTTTAAACGAAGTGTCATCATTAGATACACCAATAATTGACAAACATCTATTACATAATATATCTGTTTTATTGATTTTTAAATTTGTAAATATATTTTTATTTAAAATATAAAAGTGAGATCCATAATAAAAATCTTGTTGTGTTGGACTTAACAATGCCTTATAATCGATTTTATTACTATGTGAACAACAAAACCACTCGCATGGATCACACTCGTCACTTGGTAGTGGTAGGACTTTTAAAAATGATATAGTACTATTAGATAAAATATTTTTACAACAGCTGCACATTAATGAAATATTTGTATTCTTTGGTGGTACTTTATTTAACTTGGATGTATCCTTGAAATCATTTTTAATCTCTTCTGTGTTAATAAACTCACAAGTAAATGTTCCATATGATGAATTAGATGGATTTGTTTGTACTCGAAAAATTATCCATTTTCCAACTATTTCAAGTCGTGAAATAGACGCAGGACATAATGTTATTGTTGATGGAAAACGGATATCATAGTGATCGTTGTCAGTTTTAATGACAATAGCTTTATATTTAACAATTATTTCTATATGAGAAGACTCAGTCTCATTCTTCATACGAATAAAAACGTAACATGATTGGATAAATGGTCTCAATTCTATAGTTATAAAATCCATTGACTATATAATTGTTAAGTGATTGAAAAATTTGGTGATGATTTTTACATCTTTTGTGTTCAAGTTAAAGTCTTCTGTAAGCGTATTTGTTTGATTAAGAATCATAATTTAAATAACTAATCTGTGAATCTTTCAATTCATTGAAATATTTTTTCATTATTAAATTAGATGGCTCACTTGTCAATATTCTGGAACAAAAAAAACAATTAATTATTATCTATAAATAACATAATTCTGTTTACAAAATATAATTAATTTTTTTAAATCCTTTTGCAGCCTCAAATCAATTAGAAATTGATTATGTAATTTAATATATAGATAATAAAATGAATAAATATGTAAATCAAATTTTGTGATAGTTGTTGTTAGGCAAAAAAAAATAAAAAAAAACAGTATTGACTAAACTTAAATGAAGAAAATAAAATTATTTAAATTAATTAAAACAAAACAATCAATTACCCTTTTCCAGATTGTTAAGTAAAATCTTTAAAACAATTTTTTTACAGCCAATCTGTTCGTTGTTGATAAATTATTGTTGCTTTTGTTTGAAGTCTAAACTTTCAAATGACAAGTTCAAGTATTACATTATTATCACCAATTATTGTTGTTAATAATGTATCCTCAAATGTTGATTATTTTCACAAAGAAAATATGATATATTATTTAGCCACGAAAAACGGTAAACATCACGACTTTTAAATTCCAGATTCTTGATTTTTTAATCATATGTACAATTTTTATCTCATATTGAACAAGTATCATACAGTCGTGTCGTCACGTAACTATCCGCCATGTTATGACATCATCGGTAGCACATTTTGGCGGAAATATTACTTGAATTCAAATACATTTCTTCATCAATCCAGGCTCTCATAATTAATCCCAATTAATATTATGGCAATCATATCTCTTGATAGTTTGAATACATTGATTAAACAAATGATTCCAATAACATAAAATAATAAATTGACAACTGATGTTTAAATAAATTGTTCAATTCAAACAGTTGTTAGACATTCATATAAATGGGTGATTGCGCACTAAATCCTTACAAAATGGGTTCTCGAGGTTAAGGGGTAGTTACCCAAACTATTAATACTAAGAAAACATATTCAAATACCAAGTTGATTTAACAATTAGCTATTAATTGTTAGTAATTTGCATCTGTTCATACTTCATTCAAATGGACAATTGTGCATTCAAGAGTAGATAAAATAATTGAGGTCAAAAATGAGTAAACATTGCAGGTAATCGAAAGACTGAAACATGACAAATTTCTACGTGATTCTTAAATAAATAAATAAATATCATATTTATAACAACATTTTTATGCTAAAAATTTCACTAATGATAATTAAATGACAGAAATTTGAAAAAAATGGAAAAGTACAATTATTTAAAATAACAAAGTCATGCTTCATGATATCAAAAAGTCATCTATGAAACGTCATGCTTTATCACTTGTCTTAAACAAATATAATACACATTTAGTCTGATAGAAATATAATTGCAAGCTTTTTATCTTAATATCAAACAAATATTATCAATTCCAGAATGATTGCATCAGTATGAATAGTCTTCTACTATGAAAATACTTGTGATAAAGACAAATTAATGAATATTCATAAATCTAACTGATTGCCTAAATCGTTTATGGACCTATTGAAAAGGAGGCCGGATCTACATGAATGGCAAGGTAACGAAAAATTGGACCTTTTTAAGTGAAGGAGCGTTAGCAGTAAATGACAAACTGTCCTCGGTATACGTCGTTTCACTCGACTGAGTCTGCAGTGGATACCCCTGACACATTCATTAAGGACAAATATTGTTTAGTATCAGTGCAGCCGTCCGTCTCATCACTTTCAAAGCCATGGAGAAACAAGACGTGATTTCAGATTTACATTACCTGCCTATTATTATGTTTGTTTCATTGCCATCTATTATTGTCATTACGTAAGTATTTTTTACATTAATTTAAATTATAATTAATCAATATATAAGTAGTCATGTTTATAATAACATTAATAAATTAATTAATCTACAAAATCTCTCTGATATTTATAGATACATTATTGCTGTGGTAAATGGCCATGTAGAACCAGGATTTCCTTACATTTCGGATGCTGCAGCTTTTCCACCAGAAAGTTGTATTTTTGCTCAGTTTCTAAATTTAATTGCTGTCCTGAGTAAGTCTACATAGTTATTATTATACATGTTTTATTTTTTTCTGTTGTTGACAATGCTAGAAAAAAAATGACATTAAAAATCAATATGCTTTTCACATAGTGTGCATCATAATTTACATAAGATATGCACAAGTAAAAGAGGTATCAAACACTTATCAGCTATCAGCATTTTGGCAAAGGTTGAACAACATTTCTTTGATCATTGGTATAATATCAACCCTTGGAATGTCAATAACAGGCAATTTTCAAGAAACGTCCAATCTTGTTGTCCATCTCATTGGTGCTACTTTATGTTTTGGTGGCGGGACTGTTTATATATGGCTTCAGGTATAAACTAACTTTTTTCTATCTTGGATAAATTCCACTAATACTGATAATTTCTTTTGAAACTTTTTTTTATAGGCAATATATTCTTATCGATTGAATCCTATTGGTTGTTCTCCAAGATTAACTCATTTAAGACTGGGTTTATCAGCTTTTTGTACAGTTTGTTTTTTTGTAGTTTTTATTGGTGCTGCTTTAGCAGCCAAGGATTACAATGGTGAGTGTAGAAAAATTGCTTGATTCACTTTTACTTAATTGCATCGTGTGCAATAAAATTTCAGGCAGTGATCCAAAAACATGGTCAAAGAATGATGGAGGATGGGAAATGCATCTTCTGAGTACGATAACAGAATGGCTCTGTGCTTGTACTATTTGTGTGTACATTCTTAGCTTTACTAATGAATTTCGCGAAGTACAATTAAGTTATCCAAAGGTAAGAATGATATTCATATTAATAGTTAATGATTTGAAGAGATAAAAAAATAAATAAGTTATTTATACTTACAGATAAGTTATAAAGCTGATTACACAAGGAAAATTTACGGTGTATTTGAAGCTACGCCTGACTCAATTAGTCCAACAAGAAGTATTTGATCGCGAATGAAAGATGCTTGTAGTTACATGAATGGTTCTTCTTACTCACCAATAAATACCCCATATATTGAGATAAATGGGTGTGATCAGCATGATTCTGAATCTACACGATTGTTATTCCGAACAGAAATGATTGATAACTCTGAAAGCAATGTAGCTGTTCATTGTAGACATCCAGTGTATGCCTACAAAACATTTAATTCTGAACATGTAAACAATGAACAGTTATTAAAACAATGTACGAATGTTTCAGTATATTCAGAGTCTTCAGAATCTTGTCAGCCTTGTTCCACATATTCTCCAGCTAACAGCCATGAGATTTATGGTATATTATCAGAAAAAAGCGATAGAATGTACTCAAAAAGTACAACTATTCCAATGGATAATACACTCAATTTTGAGATAGCAAATAGTCACAGTAACTACGAAATTTATTATAATCGGCCAAGTAGTTTTTGTGGGCCTATTGATAAAGAATATTCAGGTGAGTGGTCAGTGGATAGAAATACTCCGGAAAAATGTGATAAAAGAAGATTGAGAAGTTCTAGTAGTTCGTTTACAAGTGAAGAGTTTGATTTAAGTGCTTGTGATATAGAGCAGTGCCTAATGCAGATTGAGGAGAGTCTTTTGAATATTGAACAAAATCTTCGGCACGTACAGAATCTTGAAATTCCACAGCTCAATAGTTTGTTAAATAATAGATTTATTGTTGATAAAAAAAATTACAAGAAACTACGACTTTCTCGTAGTGCAAGTGATGACTGGCCTTTTAGTAGAAATATCAAGGGTAATAATGCATTTAATAACACAAGACTTTCACATTCTGATAATGATATTAACGTAGAAAAAAGAATTCGTTTCAACGAAGCTAAAAATTTTGATGTGTTTTCGTCTCGAAAATCTTTTCTTAAAAAATCAGAGACGTTATTAGAAAGTAATTTTGAAAAATTACAATTCCTTAAAGAAATAGAAACAAATATTACTAACTGTCATAATAATAACTCTCATAAAAACAATAATGATAATAATGAAGTTAAACATGTAGATACAGAAAAAAAGCCTATATTTAAACGTAAAAAAAATTTTTTAGATGATAAACGTTGCTTTACTAGCTGTAAGAAACGTAAAACTTCAGTAAATAATTATTTTTCTAAAAATAATGGTCCCGTTTTCAACAGAAAAACACTAACTTCACAAGGGACACTTGAAAAGTATGCAAGAGAATCATTCAAAAGTCGGAAGAAAAAACGTGAAGCATTTAAGAGAAGTATGAATTGTCAAACAAATGATTGTTTATTTAATAAAATAAATGCTAAAGCAATTGAATTCCGTGAAAAACTTGAAACTCTCACGATTGAAGATAAATCTCATGAAACATGTTGGAAAGAACAAGGAGAGGTTGCCTCAACAGATAAAACTCACGGAGAAAGATTTTCATTAGATAATAACAATCATAGAGATGTTAACGTTGACAAAAAGTTATCGGGTAATGATAATCGTAAACAAAAATATTTTCCTAATAAAATGCAATCTTCTGACAATGCTATTGTACCAAGAAAATTATTATCATTATCATTTTCATTACTCCTAGCAGCTTTACTTCAAGCAGTAAGATGTCTTGCAGACATAGTTGAAGATACTTTTCGCTCTGTCACCCTTGATAAATATGCTTTACACGAATAAGTAAATAAGTTCACTATTGTTATGGGCAATAAATTTAAAGAATATTGATAATTTTTTATATTCACGAAAAATATAACTTGTTATTTTGTGTACTATCTTTGATTAAATTGAAAATTTTTATTTGATTCAACGTTAAATCTTAATAATAAAAAATATTTATCAAAGTTTCTGGGTATAATTACTTCTATTAATGATAAAGATTAATTAAATCATTTTTAAGAGTAGGGTGCTTCACTGGAATGAAGCTGTTTAATAGTATAAAATATACAGATTTGTATATTATTCCAAGTGCCATCAAACTTCTGTGGGCCTCATTAAAAATATAAATTATATTTTACACATCATTATATTTATCTAAATAAATTAGCCTGATTTAATAATTATCAAAAAATGTTTACGATTGGAGCAATTAATAAATAATCGATGGGTATACATTTCTACTGCACGGCTTCTATGTAAACTTAATCAAATGTATGTACATCGTATTTTGATAACGATACTGGAAAAAATGCTAGTAATTAATATATTGTCCTCAATATTCCAAATGTAATTAATCAATCAACAATTCCATAATTATACGAATTTAATATTATGTAATAAAGAACTTTTAATTAATATTTAATGTTAATATTTTTTCACCGATTTCCTAATAAGTGCCAATCTTTGTTTATGGGCTTCTGTAACTGTTGCACGTTTATAAGGTCGAACTTCATCTGTACCAAATCCTGGGATCCACATATTCCAATTTCTCTCTGTAATGATAAAATTTATTATTTTTTTTTATGTTTATTCCATCATTGAAATTATCTTTATAAATAGTGAGATTTACCTAAATGTAATTGTACATCCTTAACTTCAACTGTATTTGCATGACGATGCTTGGCCAATAGACAAGCTGCATTAACCGTTGTTTCTACAAAATCATCCGCTAATTGTAACAACATTTCTTCTACCTCATCATCTAATTGTTCTGTTGGATCAACTTCCTTCACCAACTCTTGTAATCTACTTTTTGTTAAAAACTATAAAACACATAAATATTAATAATGAAAATAAAATTGAAAAAATTAATCATTTAATAAAAAAGTAATTACTTGTAAAGTATCATTATTCGATGATTGATTCTTCGAATGTGAGGTAGAATGAATTGATGATGGAATCGTTTGTGATTGAATTTGTGACTGCTGTTTTTGCTGCTGCGGTTTATCTGAGTCAATTATATCATTTTGAATATCTACAGAAGACTGACTATGAAGTCCAACTGATTGTAAATTACCTAACGATTGAGTATTGTTATTCGACTGTTGATGTTGTTCAGATTTTATTGTATCTGTTTGTAAATCCACCGAAGATTGGCTTTTAGGTCCAACTGATTGCAAATTACCTAGTGGTTGTGTACTATTCAGCTGTTGTTGTTGATTAAGCTCGGTTGTGTCATTTTGTAAATCTACAGAAGATTGACTATTTGGCCCAACTGATTGCAAATTGCCCAACGTTTGAGTATTGTTATTCATTGATTGTTGCTGTTGGTCTTGATGTTGTTCAGAATCAACTGTATTACTTTGTAAATCTACTGACGATTGGTTAGTAAGCCCCACTGTTTGTAAATTACTTAATTGTGAATTATTATTTGAACCGTTATTCCCGGTTATTATTCCCGTAATGTTTTGAGACATAGTTATTCACGAATATCTAAATAATTGAAAAATAAGATAGTAAACAAACTTTAAGGTTAGAAACTTCTTTGGTGGAAGTAACATAACGCTCTTGAGTGAACGTGTGTACTGGACTTAATGTTTTGTTTTCTATTGGTTGGATTTTGGAGTAGTACCGAAAGTAATCGATTTTTGTCGAAAAGTTACGAAGTAAAAAAGGAAAAGTATCTCAGTTTTTCATGAAAACTCACACAAATAGTATTAAAGTTGTGTTATTAATGTTTAATTGATTGCTCAACTGTATTTTACATTCGTTGAGATTTTGGAGTAATTAACTGAGTATGTATTTTTGTGTATTTATTTCTCGATTGTCTTTCTAAACATTTAATTGTAAGGTATATTCATACACATACAAATGGCTGGCCACAATTACATTACATTCAATTTGAAACGATTTATTCGAAGTTCATCAAATATTGATGATAGCAAAATACAGAATAAACAAAAAATAACTGATAAAGTAAATTTTCAAGGTGATGAAGCAAAAATTGCTTATGAGGCTATAATTAATGAAAATAGTGAATCAAAAACTAAGAAACAATCTCAACATGTCAATAACAAGTTTAAATCAGAACCAAAACATTCCAATGAGTTGAAGAATAAAATTAGAAATGAGGCAAGAAATCAAAAAAATTTTACAGTTAATATAAATAGTATTTTCAAATCGATAGAACAAGGAGACTTAGAATTTCTAAATGAACATCTAACCCCGGAAAATGTAAATATTGTTGACAGTTTTGGTTGGACACCACTGATGTCTGCAGCTTTTTGTGGCAATACAGCAATTATTGAATTTTTATTGAAATTAGGAGCTAATAAAAACTGTAGAGAAAAGACTGGTCTAAGTGCTTTACAATTAGCACAGAAAAACAAACATATTGCTGTGATAAAAATTTTGACAGCAAAAACTTCTAAACCATCAAATACTGTGGAAAAAACCAATGATGAATTACTACATGATAATAATGAATGCTTGGAGAAATTTTATTGTTCAACTTGTAAAACCAATTTTCAAAATACTACTGTGAAACAACATAATGCTTCTATTCTTCATATTTTTAATTTAAAGCCAGAATTACCTGGTCCAGTTTATGGAATACCTAAACAAAATAAAGGTTATCAAATAATGGTGAACAAAGGATGGAATGAAAAGGAAGGTCTTGGTCCATCAGGATCAGGTGTAAAATTCCCAATAAAAACAATTCTCAAGAGAGATCGTAAAGGTTTAGGTAATCGATTGAATAGCAAACCTAAAATAACACACTTTGCTAGTGGCGATTTAAATGCTGTAAAAGACATCAGAAGACCAAAAGTTGTAAAAGAAAAAAGCGATTCACGGAAAAAAGAATATGAGAAAATTCTCCGAAAAGAACGAAGGAAAGAGATAGCTTTACGACAAGCTTTGTCATGACAATTATATATGTTTAGATTATGTAAAAAAAATTTTAACATTTTTAATCTATTTTATCTCAATTTTTTGTTCTATACTATCATCAGTCCAGTTTCACTGTGCAAATGAGTGAAAAAAAAACATAATTCACCATGAATGTAAGTTAATATAATTTATTAAATGATGTGAAAATAGTTTATTATTGCAACTTAAATGCTAAAATTTCAACAGACATTTTTCTTTGTTTATTCTGTTTCAGATGATGAAAGAACAAAAACGATTACTTGAATATCTTCAGACAGTTGAAGAAAAAGCCGGAGAAATCTTAACTGATAGACAAGAAATTGTAGCTTTAGATAAACGAAGGAATGATGACAGAGTTGGTATGAGAGCTTTACAAAAGTCATCTTACGATAAATGTTGGATTACAATGGGTCCTATAATAATGAAGATATCATCAAAGAAAGCTGAGGAATTACTTGTACAAGGTAGTTATTAACTTATATAAAATCTATACTCAAATATTAACGGTTACTAAACGTGTCCTAATATATATAAAAATTTATTAAATTATTGATTCAGATCAACGAGAATGTGATGTTGCAATAAATAACTTACGAAGTGATTTAAGAGTAAAAGTAAATGAACTTCGTGATTTGGAGCATACTCCGCCAGTTCCAGGATTAATGCTAAAACCCTTGTCGCATTCAGAAATGACAGCGATTAATCAGTTATGTGGTCGATAATGGAAAGCCAAAAAAATGATTTAAATTATTATTTTAGATAAATTATTATTTTTCATATAAACTAAGTTGAAAGGATTAAAAATAAATAATTCATTTAATATACGGTTAATGTTTATTTTCTTTATGAACGTATTTTTTTTTCTCTTAGATGATGTACATAATAAATTATGAGTAAACGAGCGTTAAGTTTTACCCAGAACAACTCTTTCAATTAATTTTTCTTTTGTTTAACTTACTACATACATCCTCCATTTATTTATCACTACACACAAATTAAATTGCGTTATGGATAATACTAACACTTGACGACTTTACTCAAATATATAATATACTTTTTTTATTAACCATCTCTTTTTTTATTAATCGATATCTTTTTCTCAGATTACCAAATACAAAAACATAGCTGATACGATAGTATTATAATACAAAGCACGCGAAATGTATCATGCTATATAGAAAGCAATTAATGTCCAATTACCTCTATAAAGCATGATTCAATTGCGTCTAGTGTAAATATTATTTATTAATAAATTTCTTAACTACTAATTATATGTAGAAATATATTTATACTTAATTGATTTTTATCTACCATAATTCAATTGCAGTATTTTATTTTTCTTTCAAGAGAATGCGCATTTTTTCACACAACCATAAATTATTTTCTATCTCGTTTAATTTATATATATATGTATATATATATAATATATATAAGGAATCTTTCATTTATTCAGCGGATTATGAATGGATTCAAATTATTATCGAGTTAAAATCAATGATAAATCTCTTAAATGAGCATCGTAATGTTGGTATTCGATTGAATTGTTATTAAGAGTTGAAAAATGAAATTAAATAAAAGTAAAAAATATTAACAGTGAGATTCTCAAGCAATGATGAATGTTTCATAATAAAATTGATTTTAGTTTTTTTAAAATATTTGAATCTATATCATTTCATCGAACGATAAAAAAACAAATTTTATTTTTAATTTACGAATGTATAGATGAAATTTGGAAAATGAATTATTACATTAAATGAAATAATATTATAAAATATTTATGATTATTCAGAAATATGTTTTAATGAACAATTAATTAATGCAATTAATGTACATGTAATTGATTTATAGTTTAAAAAAATTGACATTTTACAATTATTCACCGGCTATGTAATATTTTGGAAATTAAATCAACTAAAATAAAAATTTTATTACACATTTCCTCACGTGCATGTAATGTATTTATACAAAGAATATTTTATTACAAAAACATATGTATATAAGATATATATTTATATATATATATATATATATATACGTATGTATATTTTGTCACGTTTATTTTCGAGATCATTATATTACAATTGTAATTTGCATATTTGACAAAAATATTGATTATCAATAAATCAATTATTAAAAACATTAGTTTATGGTTCGTATTCGAGAGATACTAAATAATGAAATAGTTCTAAATATTTATAGGCCAATTAAATATTTTAATAATTAAAACATTTTTCTAGTTAATTTTATTTATTATTATATTACTATTTATCAGATCAACTTGCCATCAATAATCCATTTATGTACGAAGGAAGAGAAGGTAAGACTTACTAATAATTAATTTCATTTCATTCAAATTTGAATGAAAGCGTGTTATCTTTTACATAGTTGATTAAATCAACATATTACAATGATTACAAAACTCAATCTACTCCAAGATAATATACACTTTCAATTAAATCTTAATATTACAACAAAATTTAAGTATTTTTTGTAGTTTTTGCTTTTATAGCTTTTAAGAAAATAATATTATTTTAGTTGAAATTCTTATTTACACATATTACAAACAATATTTTGTTCAATATGTATGTGTATATATATATTTCACCATTTACTATTTCATTTAATTAATCACTATTTCTCACACACCAAATTTTACAAATTTTTCAATCAATAAAAACAGAAACCCTGAATATCCTTTATTAAAAGAAGGTTTTTATTTATATTTTTATATTAATAGTAACTGATGGCGTTGATAATTTTTATTTATAATTGACCTCTCGAATGCGGAACTTGGTTTAATGAAATTTTATTTAAAATTGTAATTATAATTTTAATGCGTGAAATATTCATTTTCCAAATTATAAAAACTTATAATTTATTTATTTTTTAATTTATATAGAAAATTTTTCTCTAAAATGTAGTTGGTAATATTGAGTTATTAATTAATGGTCTATAATAATAAAAATAATAATTATCATTGTAATAATAATGGTGGTAATAGTACAATAACAATAGCAGTAATAGTAATAAAAAAAATGGCGCTACCAAGTTCCTCAGCCAATAAAATTATATTTTACTTAACCAATACAATGAATAATTTATTATTCGCATTATAAAGTTTGACTGGCGATAGTAATCGTCTCTCTAAATTTAGTCACTTTATTGCAGTATTTTTGTATCAGTGTTCACGTAGTATTATTAATATTATTATTATCATTATTATTTTATCATATTTATATTTGTACACATATGCTAAAAAAACAAAGAGAAAAAACAAGCATTCAAATGTATTCGACACAGATGAAAAAATTTTTTATATCTTTCATTTATTTATTATTTAGTTGTAATTTTTTTCATTTTGTTCAATGTAATAATAATCACTAAGGCTAATAGCACACGCGGCACTTAAACCATATAATCGGGATCACTGCAATCGTCTTCACTATCACTACTATCGGAAATTCTTCTCCGTTTTTTCTTTTTATGTTTTTTTACCTTGTCCGTTTTGTGCGTGCGATGCTTACGGTGTTCTTTAACATTTTCTGAATGAGTCTGTATGGTAAATTTTGGTACTCGCGGCGTTGTTGGTGCTGGCATCACATTCACTGAATTATTTGGATGCGCAGAATTAATGTTCTGTTGATACGATGGTACATTTGAATCAGTAGTAACCGATACCACTTTATTTTGATCTACTTCACAGTTCATCACTTTTTGTACTGGTTTATCAACGGAATTTTTAACTTCATTTTCTCCACTATCTTCATCTGGTTCTTTAGGATCAAACTTGAGCATCAGTTGTTTGAAATCCAAGTATTCAGCAACAAGTTTCTTCCTTCCATTTTCATCGAGTTCTTGATTACTATCACCTTCTCTTAACTTAGCTATCGTAGCTTTTGGGTTAAAGTGAACATTACTTTTCCGTGTTAAAGCTTTCTCGTAAACTTTAGCTGATTCTGAAGGTGAGTACTGACTTATTTTAGCGTCCGAGAACCCATAAACTTCTTTTAAATGCTGTCTCAACGTAAGAAGTAAGAGAAAACCTTGACTGGCGGTAATATATCCACGAAGTAATGTTGTATCTTCAGGAAGCCGAGCAAGAATAGCTTCGTCATCATCTTCATCATCATCTTCGTCTTCTAAAGCAGTCATAATTTGTATTGGTCGTGGTTGCCCATCAAGACCATAAATTATTGGCTGAACAGGAGCTGACTGAGAATTTTGTTGATCTTGTTTTGATGCTTCGCCTGCTTTAGGAAGTAATGCTTCTTTGAAAGATTGTAATAAATTGACACCAGATATTGAAATGATTATGTCAATATGATGGATAATAAATAGCGGCTCATCCTGAACTTGATATGTAAAGTATGCTAAATTATCAGCTAAATACAACATTTGTGATAGACTGGATTTAGCAGACTCTTCAAATTGTTTTAGAAAAGATATTGCTATTGCACGCCTTTGTTGTTTTGTATTCCTCAATATCGTGTATAAAAATCCATTAAGTGCACTAGGTAATTCGCCTTCTTTTAATCTCATTCCTCTCACAACAACATTATTTTGCAAAATCTTTTGCAGTCTATAACTTAATTTTATTCCATACTGTGATTGCATGTGGATAAAACCAGGATATTTACGTTCAATTTCTTGCAGTTGATTGTCTGCACTATGAGAAACCGATTTTTCAACGTCGGTACTCATACAAATAAGGTAAGGAACTAGCTGAATTGGATAAACTAATCCTTGAGCTAAAATTAACTGTATAACTTTACATGCTGCACGACGAACAACCAGGCTAGAGTGTATAAATGCCTCTGATATTTCTTTGAGATACAATTGGATGACAGTACTTGCCATACCAGATGATATATCACCCATTTCTTTCAAATTTTCTTGCTTTGACATTTTAGCCCACTCCATATCCTGTTTAATCATCCTTTTTTCCTCTTCTTGCAAGTACATTTCAACATTATTCAATACCTGCACTTTCATCATTTCTAAAGCATGATCGGACGTTAATAAATATTGATAAAGCTCTTTAAACTCCGGAGTCATCATAAATTCATAGTGACGAATACAGAGAGAGCCAATAGCAATTAAAGTATGATGACGAATATCATTATTTTCTTGTTGCAAAAAATAATTAAATATTTCTAACACTTGATCTTTGATGTTTTCCGGTAGCCCTTTTATTACCTCAGGATCAGTGAAGTCAAAGTGTCGTAGAATTAGGCCAACAGTAAATAATGATCGTCGAAACATTGGCCGAGCTTTCAATAACATTGGATTGTTTGGATCTTTTTCATATGATGTTTTATATTGAATTAAACTACTGTAATATTTATTAAAACAGTCACGGATTAAATTAAAATTTTTCGTGACATTATTGACTATTGATCCTAAGCATGATAAACAACTAGCCACAACTGATTTATCATGTTGGATCATTAATTTTATTGAATCTTCCTCTAATTGTGCTAAGAATGTTTCACTCGGATGCTGCATTAACGGCACAACGAGTTCTAATGTATGAGCAACACTGCTGATTATTTGATAATCCCCTTGAGTTTGACATTTTAATCCAAGATAAGGTTGGAGAGTACTTGCATGTTCTACCAATAATTGTGGTCGGATTTTTGCAAATAAATATAACGTCATCATACAAGCAACAAGTCTTTGAGATGATCCTTTTCTTTCTGCTGATTTATTTACATCTAAATTCATAGACTCTAATCGTAGTATATTTTGGATCAAACAATCAACAATTTGTTGACATGCAGTTAATAAAGCTTTCGGTGGTTCAGTCTGTAATTTTGTGCTGTCTTCTTTATCTTCTTTTGGCTTAAATAAACTGACCAGCAGCTGTTCAAACCACTCTAACCCATCCTTATTAGTTGCAACAACATCTGTAATATTCATTACCTTCCTCAATAATACTGTAGAATCAAGTGTAGGTGTTTCTCGAACTGGTGTGAACCACATATTTTGAAAAACTTCCATCACTAGTTTCCTTATACCCTCTTCATCATTTACTCGTCTTATCATTTTCCCACAAATTTCTGGTATTTTTGGATAATCTGGACATTCTATACAAATGTCCTTAAGGATTTTAATCACTCTTTTTCTAACACTTACACCAGTGTCTAATATTCTTGCTAATAACATGTCATAGTACTTGTCAATAAGCTCAGGTCTACTTAAAACAAATTTTCCAACTAAATCGACAGCAGCTTCGCGTACTGACGTTGAATAGTCTAAAAATGAATGATTAACACCCAATTGCATATCAGTTCTTGCTAACACACTTGAATCAGCTTCAACAATCATCGTTAGACATTTCATAGCTTTTGTTCTTATCGCAATGGACGGTTCTGTCAGTACATGAAGAATTTGCATAAGATACTTGTCAAAGCTCTGAGAAAATGGTCGTTTCGATGCAAGATATTGTGATATTAATTCAGCTGAGGTATAATCTATATATGTTTGAAAGATATCTGGTTTTGTTGTGGAACTAAAGGGACGGATTGAGCTCAAAATAAATTTTTTCTTCTCTTCAATTTTACGATAGGCCTCCGAATTCTTTCGTTCATTATTGTCATTCTCATCTGCATTCATGTCCCCTTCTTCAACATCGTCGATCCCATCTTCATTCCCATCATCATTTGAGTCTGATTCAGGATCGCTGTCCACATGTTTGTTGCTACGTTTTTTCGATTTCTTTTTATGTGATTTTTTAACGGGTGAATTTTTCATTTGACCAACATGAGCTTTCTCAGCTGCACAATCACGATACCATTGTGCTAAATAAAAATGTCGAGCATAAATTAATGATGGATCATTGGTGCCATTTACTGCTAAGTGATCAAGAAGTACTTTCTGTAAAAATTTAGTTCGATCATCATCATCAGTAAATTCAGAAATTTGTTTCAACTGTTCATAATCAGCATCTTTCTGTTGTTCCGCTCTGATGTCTTTAATTATTTCATCAATCGTTGATAATTTACATTGAGAATTCACAGCATCTTTCCTCAGTCTTGCAGCAACAACACCAAGATATTCTATAGAAGCAACTCTTAATGACATGTCTGAATTTTTATTAGAAAAATGATTGACTAAAAGTTTTCCTAATAAACTTAATAGTAACTCCGCTGCTGGCCACTCAGGTTTGTTTACAGTTGCTAATAGATCTTGAACAAAATTTTCGAATAATGGTCGGTAGTCAACTTCTGTACCCTTACTACTGCATTTATTGAGAAAGACTGATAGGAAGCTCCCGGCTAATCTAGTTGCGGTCTCATACTTGTTGATAATCAATATATCTGAATCAACGTGTATTGGTTTCTTCTCATCCTTCTTATCTTCTTCATCTTTAGAATTCTTGTCTTGACGGGTAAGATTATCGGGCAACGTGACAACACATTGAATAAGCTGTAGTACAAGTGCTGTTAACATTTGTATATGATCACCAGAATTCAGTTTATACGTTCGTAAACTTCTTTTACTACTTGGTAATCGAGCTATTGATGCTAAGATGTCATCCAATAACAACCGTCTGTGCTTTTCATATTTAGTAAATATAACCGTCACAAGCTTTAATGCACTCAATTGCAAATCATTGACAGACTCGACAAAGAAAGGTGCAACGCCTAACGTTGAAGCATTAAGTACACTAGTGTCAGTTAATGACTGGATGTTCAACAATTCAGCAAGTAGAGTAATAAGCTCGCGCATTTTGTTGTATACTTCAAGAATGCTTTTTTCACGAACCTCTTTAGCATTACTTCTTTTTTTACGGCCGCTGGAGTTGAAGTTTTCAGTCTTATTTTTCGTGTCTATTCTGTAAACTGGATCGAATGATGGATAAATCGTATTTTGAAGTTGGAATTTCATAAATAAAACAATTCGATCAATGACTTCTTCTAAATAAACAACCTTCGGCATATTTTGTGAGGTCATGATATTTAATGCAATTACTGATGCATCAACTGCACGTACTACTCTCTCCATCGCTAATTGCATCCATCGTTTACTTTCTTCAACGTCGTCATCAGGATCAGCTAATGGAGATACTCTAGCACCATCTCGAATATTTTTTTCCAATATCGTTAGTAACTTGACTAACCTATCAGATGGAATCGATTCCATCGCCCTTAGTGATTTTAACTTTGCTGCTTCTTTACATAATGCTTGTAACTGATTTTTTGGAATGAGTAATTCGCTGGGTACATTACCGTCATCTTCAAAATCAGCAGATATTACAATATCTTCTGTATTATCAAATATTGTGTCAAGCATTGAATTAAACATTTGATAAGTATTTGTTTCCATTAACTCATCAACGCTTAATTTAGCCAAAACAGGTACCAATTTCTTTTCAATTTTTCTTATTTTTGGCTTTATTGAAGTTAATTCTTCCCGTTTATCTCCATCTTCCTCTACATCATCATCTTCACCTATATCATTGTCATCTAATAATTTTCTTCGCCTACGAGTTCTTAATCGATCTTTTGTTCGTGATTTAAATTGCTTGTTACTTAAATCATCATCATCATTCTCTGATTCGGATTTTTCTTGCTTTGTAGCGTTTAAATTAGTAGTTCGCCTTGAAGATTTTTCAATGTAACGGCTGAGATTTTGTTGCATTATCGTTTGATCTAGTCTATCTAACATTACCACAGGTTCCTTAAATTTTTGTTCAACTGATTGTCCAGAAATTTTGTTATCTTTGATTACATGCTCGTTCATTGTAGAAGATTGGTGCTGTTGCTGCATCTGCATCGGTAACTGTTCCTGATGTAAAGCTTGATGTCGAAGAGGGTCTTGCTGTATAAGTTGTTGCAATGGTGATTGCTGGAGCTGTTGTTGAGGTTGTTGTTGTTGATGATGCGGCTGCTGCTGCTGAGGTTGAGGTTGTTGTGCTTGAAATGGATGTCGTTGTTGTTGCTGTTGCTGTTGCTGTGGAGGTTGATGTGGAAGTTGTTGTTGATGTTGTGGCTGCTGCTGTTGATGTTGCTGTTGTTGATGTAAATGTTGCTCATGATGCATTGGAATTGTGAGAGATGGATCAAATGCATTAACAACAGCTTCAGGATTAAGATTTGGATATATAGGGTGATTAGTATGTTGCATTAAATTTCCAACCTGTTGAGAAATTCCTGATTTTGGATCTATGCCTTCAATTGGTAAATCTATATCAGACAAACCAGGAACTGAATCTAATAAAAATTGTGAATTTTCAGGAACTGTGTTACCCAAATCTATGGTATTATTAGCAGTCATTGAATGTTGCATTTGTTGATTCATCATTGGATCATACATTGTTTGTTGCATATTCATATTCATATTTATTTGTTGAGTGGCCATGCCAGTATGCATTGGCGTTGTCATATGCATATTGTGCTGAGGCATTAAACCACCAAGATAATGATGTTGCTGAGAGATGTGTTGCTGAGGAACATGTTGTTGCATCTGCATCATCGGAATTGGGGATCCCATATGAGCTGGTGAGTAGATAGTTGCATGAGCATTGGTAGATGATAATGAATTAATCCCATTAGCATCATCCTGTATATGTTGTGGGGTTGTTGATGTTCTTGTTTGTTCCGTAATAACGGTAGCTCGAGGAGATGGTGAAGGCACAGCGAAAGGAGACATTTGTGATACATCTACATGGTTTTGTGGCGTCATTGGCATTCTAGGATGTTGTGCGTGACCCATATTACTAGGTGGAGGTAAAACAGTTCTTGCAGCTGCGGGATGAGCTGGGCTGCCTTGAGGTGTTTGTCTTGACCCTGATGAATTTGAATACGAGGGTGAAAATCTTCCATAACTTGCTGGAGATTGATTGGCGTGATGCATCATTGATGTATTTTGAGGCCAGTTTCTTGAAGAGTTGTACTGTGGTCCTTTAAACACGTGTGGATTAATCTCCAAAATAGCTTTTAATAATTCTGGAGCATTTTGCTCATTTTCCAAGGGTTGATCAGATTTATATTGATCTTTTAATTCAATATTGTCCGATGATGTTTGTGCTAAAGCTTGAATTAACTGTGGTATTAATGTTTCATCTCTATTACCAAGCTGTAACTTGGCTTCTTCAGCAACTCGTGCATGAAATAACAGGGATTTGTTAGATAGAGTTTGTGGTAAAGGCGTTGGAAGGGGCATTTCCGGTAATAAATCAGTAAGACTCGCGATACCAGCGAGGGTAGTGATTGGAACACTCGGTATAACCCCATTCATTTTGACTTTGATTAATTCTGGCATTACACTTCAACACAATTAATAAACTTTTCATCAATTTTAGTATTAATTGTCTTGACCAAATTTTATCGTTAACTTACTTAACATACGTATCACTCTTTATCTAACTTATGCAATTGTCTCACAATAAATAATGGTCTTTTATTAAAATAATTGTTCTAAAGTTATTACACGCATTTTTACCCCAACTTTGAATAATAAACATTTTCACAACCTGTTGATTCTTCGGCTATCGATGGTATATCAACACTGATACACACTGGATCACAGTATCTATTTATCAACACTATCACTATGTCTTTGCTTAACGTGGATTTACTTTTCAAGTTCCCATGATGATCATTGAATCTCAACCAAACTTGGATGATGCTCTCGGATCTTGCAATAAACGATCCATTTTTTATATCATAAGTTATGCCATCTGAAAATACAATCATTGTTAGAATATTGAATATGTTTTTAATATTTTATGTTATTTATTAAAAGCACATTATTATAGTAAAAAAGTTATATAATTATTTGTTTGTAAATAGAACAGTACATGCTTATTATTATTTACAGAAAATTGAATTCACACATAAAATTAAAATACTCTCACAATATAAAACATTAATGTACTTCCACAATCATTGTTTTTTTACTACATGAATGTCTTATCGTATTAAATAAATAATTTTTTTTATCAAAAGTGAAAATAATTAAGAGAAAACGTAATTTAATCGTAGTTTTCATGTGAGTAATGAACATTCATTAAAATCATCTAATGTAAGTGAATGGAGAATTTTTATCTTAATTAACATATTTTGATGAAAAGTAAATAAAAAATGTATTTAATAAAAACAATAATCATAATATTTATAATTGTGTACGTTAAATTCATTAAAAGATAGTGAAAACTGATATTTGATAACAAAAAATTATATGTGTAACCTCAAAACAATTGAGTAAAAGTATTATTTGTTTTTTTTAATATACATAATGTCAATAGTTCTTACCCGACTAGTGATGACTATTATTAATGCCAACGAATGCAAACTAGTATTACAATTTTGGCGGGAGGCCACTAATATATATTCCAATCAGATATATTATTCACAAATTAATATTATATTTATAATCACAATAATTTTATAAGCTTATTATACATCAAAATTCACTTGAAATGTTTTCCTGAGTATGATATTCACTCAATTGTCATCCGTAGCTGTGGCCTACTTGATTAGACGCGTTTACTTGACCAGTCGAAACGATATTTACACGGCTTTGGTACACAATACATTGTTTATTTATATCTTTTATAATATTTAATAAACATATTTGATTGAAGATACTTGTACACAGCTTTTATTGTTTCTATAGTGTGAATACCAAGAAAACAGACACAAAGGCGTCCATTTTGCTCAGCAGTGAGATAGCGGAAGTTGCGTAGTAGTTACACTCCGAATCTATATATATATACAGCAGTATATGAGCACTTACACATCAATAAATAAAAGTGTGTGCGTAGATCGACACAGCAGCAGCGTTGCATTCAAAATTTCTTCAAAAAGTGTTTCCATCAACCAATCACAAACTTGATTCATAGCTGCAGTGTATTTTGAAAACTAGCCTTAAAATAGTTAGTCTTTGAAAAAAGGTTTTTGAACTCATAAAAAAATATAAAATTTGCTCTATTCAAGAATGAAATAGAGTTAAGTTTTTTATAGATATAAAAATATCATTGAAATGTCATACTAGCGAAATGATCATTTAGAAAATTTATAAAGAAGATTAATAAATTTTTTTTATCAATATAAAATTTATAATCAGTACACAACAAAAACAAATGTTGAATCAATATTGTATTTAAAAGTATCTACTTTTCAATTTGGATGTTATCAATATTATTGTTGACAAACAGTGTTAAGAATTTATAAAATTGGAATTAACAAAATTCCCGCTCGAATTAAATGTACCGACAGCTATTCTTATACATTTTCCTGAAAATATTGGAAGAATTGATGACAAATTCAATGTTTGATACATATATATATATATATATACATATGTTTATATTAAAAGTTTGTTATAATTTTATGTGAGCATATAACGTCTTTACAATAAACGTCAATACATAAACCATGCATAAGGTTGAGATCCTCTGGCTCTACATCATCGCCGATTGCGAATGCATTCATAATAATTTGTATTCCGTGTCGCCGTAGTCACCGCGTATGTTGAAGGTAAAATAAAACCCTCAACAAAACTTCAAAATGGCGCAACTATTTAGTGTAAACACCCAGTTTTGATATAAGTAGAGCGAAAAGAAAAAGGCTAATGTAATTACTACATTATTGTGTTTTACATTTTTACATTCTACACATTTTAGTGAAGGAAAATTTATCTGAATGTTTACTATCGAAATGTCGATTGCCCATTCTCTGACAGGTAAAATCTCACTTGTGTAACATTTAATATTAACATCATTAGCATTTACCTGACTGAAAAGTTACTCATTCTTATCACGTAGATTCAGAAAATATTTGTTATTCGAAAATAGCACTTTTGTATTTCGGTTAACTTTCTAAATATATTTCTGATAGAATGATACTAAGGTCAGAAATGAGCACAATGCTTCTTCTCTCATAATTTAACTTAAATTACCTTTAAATACCCTTTAATCTATTTAATAATTCATCTATTATTACTTGAACTTATCCAACTATTGATACTTATCTTAATAATAACAATATTTTTTTTGTATATTAAAAGCTATACTAAAGGTTGTAAACTATTCATTTTTAGGGTCTGATTCGGCGAAAATGGCGCAAAAAAGAGTGACATCCAGCATTGGGTAAGTTTCAACAGTAATTTAATTTATGTACATAAATTGTAAGTATTAATAAACTCTTCAGTTTAGGAAGTATTAAATAACCCTGGTGACTATTTAAAAATAAATTTTTGAATGATTATGAGAAGAGTATCTTAGAGTGATCTCAATCAGTTCAATATTGATTGAACCATAATTTATAAACTTAATGAACATGTACATGCTTGTTTCATACATACTTATTATTTACAACTTAAATAATTGGAGTTATATGAATTTATATAAATAGATGTGTTTACTCTACATCTGTGAGAAAAAATAACTAAGACTGCAGGTGATCTATGTGAATTTTTAAATTTATACCTGCTCTGACCTTTTTCACAAAGTCATCTTTTGCTCAATTGTCACAAAGCTGGTCCACAAAATCTTGATTCTGTTGGTGACTAATTCTAACTTGAAAGATTCACTCAGTTGTGGTAAAACTACTGTGTGCTTTTCATTAACTTGAATCAAACAAAAGAATAAATTCTAGCATTCAGTAGGTTTAATCCTATACCACATAACATTCTAGAAATTGTGAATGCTGGTTTCCAAAACAAATTTAGTTGTAATCAAAACTACTATAAGTAGACACAATTATAAAACAAAATCAGTATGCATGTAATGTAGCATATGATAGAATAAACAATTGGTAACTGTTAATATTAATAAATCATTAAAAGAGTAACAAAGGTTTTGAAGTTATAGTGGAAAGATAAAAAAGTTTTAAAAGATTAAAAATATTAAAGTAAAATTCAGAAAGTCATATCACGGTGGATGATCGAGTGAGTGGTGGGAGAAGTAATAGTTCCCCCTCAGCTGGACAGAACCGCGGTACATTATGCCGCTATGGTGGAATCAGTCACTGGTGGGACGTGGGTGGTGACGAGTCGTAACTGTCTTTTGATTTTGATTTTTTTTATTTTCGTTCTATTGTGATTGTTACCATCGTGCTTTTCAGTGTTATCAAGTTTATTCTTCATGTAGTACAATATTTCTACCATAAAAATAGTGACTGGCGTGACACGTGAATTTATCAAAACCCATACACATGTGATTGTAGTGAAAATTTCGTATATAACTCACAAATTTCTCTTCATTTGTGTCAACATAAAATTGTTGCATAATTTTTAAATAATTCATCACTATCAGTTTGCAAAATTTGAACTTCAGTTCTGTTCATTTATTAAATTGTCGTGTAATAATTAACTAAGTTACGCAAGCTTTTTATCTAAATAATTGTGTACGATAAGTGTTATAAATTGACAGTAATTCATAAATGTAAAAAATTCATGTAGTGTACATATATTTATATGAAGAAAAAGAGAACAAGAGCCCGTGAAAAATGTTTTTTACAAGGTTAAAGATAATATTTTGTAATAAAAATAATCAAACTATTTAATATTGAAAAATTTTTTCATAATCGGGAAATATTTTATACATAAACAAGATAAATATAATAAATAAACCTGAAAATCCTATAAAGTCTCAATATTTACATTGGCAATAACTTTGTTTTCACAAAAGAGACTTGACTCAAGATTTCAAAAGTAGAATATCACAAATAATTCAGTAAACTCTCACTTGATATGAATCACAGCTATCAAGTGATGTTGAGTTGAAATCTAAAATAAATAAATAAACAAATGAATTTCTATAGTGAAGAAAGGTGTGCAGTGGTTCTACTTGGAATAAGTAATAAGTGTCAGTGATAAAACAGGAGTTATAGGAGTGACTAGTCTAGTGGATTAAATTGAAGAAGAAGTTAATTAAAAACTATCAAAATAGAGTACCCGAGTGATATGTACGGGGGTGGATCAGGGAGTACAGACTATGGGGTAGGCCTAGGGCCCGGTCCCTCACATTATGTCCCCCCACCACCCAGCCACATTACTTACCAATTGGGAACAGCACCACCACTGGTTGGAAGCTTGCCGCTTGGAGCTGGTGGGCCTCCTCCCGGAAGTCAGCTACTGTCTTACGGACAAACCTTATCACCACATCACGTACAACAACCGCAAAATGACTCGCCAAAGTCTAACAGACGGAGGTAAATTTTTGAGGGGATAAATTAGATGGAAACAGGGTAATAAAAACCAACATTAAGATGAATAAAAGTGTACATTAATGAAATTTAAAAAAATTCATTTTTGCTAAAAATAAAATTAAATAAAACACTGAGATTAATGCAATCGATAGTACGATAGGATTTGCCACTTAAAAGATAAAACTTGGAAGTTAAATTGATGACTTTTTTTATGTATAGTTGTTGATTATTATTCATAAACTGTCGACCTTCAAAAAAAGTAGATTTCTGGGAATAGATTATCAGAAATAGTTAGATACTACATGATTAAAGTGAAAGAGGGAGGAAATTAAAATTATAAAGGTATAGCGCAGGTATAATAATTAATATTATTAATTATCGCAACTTGAACTTTAACATCATACATTTTCATGTTCTTTATTTATGTGGTTGATTATTTTAGATTGACCGGTTTTTTTTTTTAATTTCTTACAAGATTGTGATTAATAATGATATCTTGAGTACTCCAAGTCATTACTCATTCAGAATTTTCATAGCAATACGTGCAGAAATGAACGTCATCTTTTATTACGATAAACCAATTAATCTATCAGCTTATCAAATTATTTACAGTTGACATTTTTTGAACATTGGCATTAAGTAATTATCACTCAATTATTTCACTAGATATTTTTATTATCATTTTAAAAAAATTTTTTCAAAAAATGACTTATTCTTATCAATACATTTTACTATATAACACTTGAATGTGTTAAGGATAATTATTTATTATAGTTTTAATATGTTTGAAAATTTTCATTGATATATTAAAAAGAAAATTGTATAAGAATAATACAAAGTTTGATTTTAGATTGAAAGTCATAATTTGTAAGAAAACCAGCAAAATAAGACTGTAGAGAAATCATGTATGAAATAATATAACGTTTGGTTGTATGATGTTTATGAAATAATTTCAAGGAAATCAACGACGTTGAAGCCATAACAAACATTTAGTTATTTTGCGATTGGTTTTAGACATTTTTTATTTCAATTGTATAATGTCTATTATCAAGTTTCCGCATGAGGATAAAATTGAATTTATTCACATGATTCAACAATTGTATTACATTTACTGGTTCGAATGTTGAAAAGATGATTAAAAAACATTTCACTTTTATACAAAACATTTTGTATACAAAATGATTATTTCCTATCGTATTATTATCTTGGTGTGAATATACACAATACAGTAGATTATATTAGAGACAAATGTAAAATCCATTGGGTGTGAAATTTGTCACGTAAAAGAGATTTGTGGTTGCTAGTAGCTTTAATGGATCACCTGAGACTAAAAGATGATGATTTTATTACTTTACAATACATTGATTTTTATGTTGTATAAAAAAACATATTTATATGATTATGCTACGAAATTTGCCAAGTTTATATTTTTCAAGTATACACTGCTTATAAAAGCTACTCACGCGACGCAATAGTTGACTCCAAAGTTTCATAATCAAATGAGAATGTATAAGACGTTTCTGTACGTTAAACTTAACCACAATAAGTGAAAGCAATTTATATTTTATTATTCAATGATTATTTATTTAAATTCTAATCAAACTTTTTTTTCTTAACACTTCTCAGTTGACATGTGATGGTAAATTAAATAATCAATGATTAGGAAAATTATTTCAATGATACAATATATGTAAACATTGAACACATCAATGTTTGCACGTTCAAATCTACTTTTTATTAATACTGTTGTTGAAATCCTAATTATGTAGCATGTCTAATTCTAGTTTATGGGTGTAATTATCGTATATCCGTTAGACGAAGATTACATATAAGATGAAATTGAATATTTTAACACTTGAGGTATTGTAGATGTGTTCTATTAAATATTTATATTTCTGGATAGTAGAAATATTATGGTAATGAAACCTTTTTCGCGCTGGTGATGATCTGCTGGAGTAGGAACATAATTTTGGAGTAAGAATTGCATCTATATGTTTGATAATTATAATTCTGATGAAAGAGAAATTAACAGTGAAGAAATTGAAGAAGGCAATATGAAAATGAGAATTTTAAGAGCTTGATTTTATTAACAAAAATGAAAAACAATTATTTTAATTGAATATGATGTGATGCTTTTTGGCGAAATTTCACTGAGAAAATCTCTCGTTGAATTACACTGGAGAAATTATTTATTCAAAAAGAAGAAAAAAATCCTGACATTTATTGAATAGCAAAAAGTGCATTTAATGTACATGTTCTGTCATTGATATCTTTTGTTTGCTACTGAACTTTGATATCAATAGTACTTTTTTGCTGAGATTAATGACATCACCAAAGAATGTCCAAGAAGCATACATATATAAAAATCGAAGAATCGTGAACCGCCCTTTCTCGCGTGGATCCGGATAGAAGTTAACGGATCATACTTAGCTACCATTCGAACAAGATATCGTTTCGATAATGTAGCACTTGAATATAAATTGACAGCCAATATTACACATGATTTATAAGGTCATAATATTTTTTTATATTTGTTCACTTTCACAAGAAACATATTATGATACCAGAAAAATAAAACACAAAAGAAATCAACAAGAAAAATAAAAGAAGATGGTATCTAAAATCAAGGAAAGAAAAAAGGTAAACCATTGAGACATTTAAACTTTATGATATTTGATGTTACAACGAGATTAAATTAACATCTTTTTTATGCATTTTCCTCTTATTTTCAGAGTCAAGTAAATTTTCACAGCTATTTTTTCACAATTTATAGGTTTTTTTTTAAAACTTGAATAATAGATTTGGACCTGAATTTAAACAAGGATTAAGGACTAAATATATATTTTTCAGGTCAAAGTTACCTTGACCACTAGCTACATTTATAAAGCATTCAATGTAAATATATTCAAGTAAATAAGATGCAGAGATGTGACTCAGGGAATAGAAGAAAAGAAGCCACAAGAAAGAGAAGAAAAATAAATTTTCAATGCAACATAAAATGAGATGTACAATGATGATAGAGTTTTATTCCAATCTCCAACCATATTTCAAGAAAAATCAAAATCATCCATCTTACATTAATAGAACTCAAAATTCAGTTGACTCAGAAAAGCTGGAGAACAGGGAAAACAAAAGTTTTATCTATTTGTCATCAAGGAAATGAATCAATCCGAATGCCAATAGTGATACGTAGACCAGAGGATAATGATAAGTAAAAAAAAGCAAAGAAAAAAGAATTGCAGAGAAAAAAAAAGTAGGGAAAAAGAAAGAGAGGAGCGTCTTGAAGAGGACGTCTAGTGCGAGACTCACCCGGATGCGCTCTTGGCTGTACACCCTCGTAAAAGGGCGGTGGGGGGTCATGGATACCCCACAGAGGCCAAGCAAGGGATACAGCAACTCGTCTCGACAGTTGAGAGAGATGGGATAGTGGGATATCCTCGGTCCTTTACTTCAGGGTCAGAACCGTGCATCACTCGTGCTCTCTTGTCTTCCTGCTCTTCTACTTCTTTTCCTTCTTTCTCTCATTGCGGATTTGTATACAGCTGTGTACAGCATTCAACATGGAAGAAGAGGATATAGTATAGTATATAGTCAATGTAGTTTTCTTACAAGCATCGTTCTCGTCTTTCCCCTGTTTCTTTTCCCCTGGTTGAAATGTTCCAGCAGTAATGAGGATTGCTGATGGATTTACAACCGTCGATCGAATTGATGAGCCTCGCACAACTATTCACTAACCAACGGGATCTCTAGTGAACTCACAAAGCTCACCTCAACTTATTCATTTATTTATTTTACAGAATCAGTAAAAAGAATCGCCAATAGAAAGTGTCTGACTTGTGGTTGTATATCTGTAGGTGGTTTAAATACTTTGAAACTGATTGAGATTACTTGTATGATTAGTGAGCAAGAAATGTAAATAAATTCTCTATTAACTTGTGCTACGAGCTTTTGCTAATTTATTAGTGGCATAATTGTGCCGTTTGTTTATTTATTATTTAAGTTTAGATAATAACACTGTAAGCTAGCAAACCAAATATAAAATAATATATCTGCTAAATGATACTCTGTAACATTTACCGTCATTTATTTTATGTTCAATCATTTATGAATTAATTAATATTGATCGATTACCCTATCAGTTCATTACCATTTTATTATCGTGAAATGTTAGACTTAATGTACAATTTTTTTTTTTATTTTTCAAGTTGAATATTCTGAATCAGGTTTTAGAACATGTATTTGATAAATATTATAATTAAGATAATAATAATGATTTAGTTATTGTTATGATATTTTCTAAAAATTTTTGTCTTGCTTGTGAGAATGATGACACGTTTCATGCAGAGATACTTATAAAAATCATCAATCACCTATTTCAGATCTGATGAGGATGACCCTAGCGGAGGAAAGTACCGGAGAATCGAAGACGACAATTTGCAGGACAAGGAGAGATTTGCTAGGTAAGTGTAGAGCTACGAGGATTCTTTTTACATCTCTTGTATACATGATTTATAACTTGCAAGATAGCTAGACAATTGGAGGCTCTGAAAAATTATAGAAAATTACTAAACAATCTAGATCAATTTTCTGATATTATTGGTCTCTTAAATCAAAATAAAAATACGAATGATAATCAAAGAATAGAAAATAGTAATTTATTTTAAAAATATAACTTACGTAAAATACCATTGAATATTATTATATCAAGTGTAGGTATAAGACAATAAATTGAAGTCGAATTTAAACGGATTAATCGTTTCTTTGACTCTCGGCAATACGATTCACATTAGTCACGATCAACTACATAATGTGAAATGCGCGTTGATACTTACTGTATACTCTATGGTAAATGTACATGTATATCTTTCATTTACCTATATACCACCTTACAAGTACCAAAGAGAATTCACGTGTGTCGATGTGTTTGTATGTGAACCTATGCCTGATACTCGCCAATGCAAAGTCGATAAAGGAATGAGAGAAGCCCTCGGCGAATCTCTGAGTTTGCCGTGGGAACACAAGATACGCTCTCGACATTCAGGGTCCACAAGATCGCGTGGTTGATGTCGTTGTGAGTGATCTCAAATATTGAAAACCATATAATAACACTGGTCTACCAAATTGCTTTTTTTATTCTCTAATATCAAGACTAATGTCTGATCAGTAGTGGATATTTTCTATTTCAGATGAAATCTTTTTAGCTTGGGGGAAGAGGAAGATACAATTGATGGGTTTTCAGGAGATTTCAAGTTTATTGAAATCAAAAACTGTTTCTCATAAATAAAAATTGATTAATGATCAGAAGTATATATAGAGAGATGTTGAAGTAAATAAATATTTCCAAATGTTTACTTGGTTTTAATTTATTTCGATATTTAATGTATATTAATTCTTGTTGTTGGTCTTTCTACATGCTGACTCAATTTTAGGAAAAATTTCAAAATTAATTTATCTTGATAAGATTGATGATATAAAAAAACATTAGTGCACTTGATAGGACAAAAATGAAAAAGAATTCCGACAGTAAAAGCAGTTACACCATTCCGCAAACATTCCTTGGGATTTGATGTCGCGCACAAGAACATGACTTTTAAGTTAATAACGATATTACTGAGCATCTTATATTACGCCAAGTCTCTGTACCTTGCGCTTACATTTCTCTCTACCGCTATTTCGCTCATTTTATTCGATTTTATCCAACCCCTTATAAATTATACTCATCTCACTTTCGTTCTCATCTCTTTCTTACTTCTATATTTGCCCATCTTTCATCTTAGCGTTGATGTAAATCCTGGCATTTTTGGTCCGCTCGATTATAAAGCACTAGTGGACGGAATAGCTTCTCGCGGATTGCATCGTCTCTTAGCATTCCAGTGGTTAACCGACTCGTTCAAAATGCGTTGAATTGCACGAGTCTTTCCAACTCTATATTTATTCACAGTCCCCCAAATTTCATTCAAGTCTATGTTGTTTAATTCATCATACTAATTTCATTTTGTTGGAGGATTTTTAATTCAATTTTCTGCGATGCTACTTGGATTTAGTTACTTTAAACTAATTTATTGTGCTTTCATATAAATTATTATCTTATTTGATATCAAAATATTTTAAATATTTATACGTGATAATAATTCAAGAATTAATTTAATTTACAATAAAATATCAATGTAAGAATAAATGAAATCCACAATTTATTTATAATCACACATTCAGCTAGATGGTATCTTCTTAATTAAAATCATATTTATGTTCTTACATAAATATGATATGAAATTGACAGCAAAAAATGTATACATCATTTTTTAGTTTATGATAAAATAGATAAAATTACATAATTTTGAAAAATATAATAGAAACATAATTTGTAATTCCTAGAAAATTAAAATTGTTAAATGAAAACTTTTTTTTTACCAAGATAACAGGACTGATAAATTTGCATGCAAAATTATGTGAATGTTTAATACTTTTTCACTAATGTACTTTCAAGTTGGAACCGTGTTAGAGTTAGATACACTCGATGGGCCTCAAGAGTGCAAGCAAGCAGCTTTGTAGCCACTGAACTCTGACCCAGAAGTGCTCTCTCGCTCTTCGCTTTATAAGTCTACGATCCAGTGCTTTATCTTAGTACTTCTTTTAGAAATAATAACTATAACTGAAGACGTTGATCATAACAAATAACTACTTTTTTATAAGGTTTATGAGTGACTCTTATCTATATCAACCCAAGTCTTTCAACATTATTTTTTTTTGTCATCAAAATAAAACTTGGAAAAAAGTAACTTCAAAAAGCTGCAATTCTATCATTTAGTTACAGCAATTCGTATGATGATCAATAACAATTATCACTGAATCATTTCGTCAATAGAATCCTCAGAATAATATTTCTCCAGTAGGTATTCTAGAATATTCTGTTGAAACAGGAATTAAAAGACAATGATATCAAATGAATATACTTGGGAACTTATTTTAAGAAATTTATTATTCTCAATCAGAAACTCTAATTATAAAACATGAGGAACATTTTTATTTGTAATACCATCAATTATCTTTTCAATGTGTGCCAGTTAACTCTGGTAAATATAGTAATATCATCCTAAAGTCGATTTTTTATTGTATTCTTTCTTTTCATGTCTATCTAGACTTTTACTTGGAGTGGACCAACAGGTTGCTGCTTCAATGTAAACTTCTTGAAATCAGATAGATGCAAAGGTCGAGAAAAATTTTCTTACCAAGGTGTCAGTGACATTTTCCCACTTCGTATATTTACACTCTTCAATAACTTGTAAAATATTATTCACATAAATTATTCTCACAGCTATTCAATATAAACGTCTTTCAGCAGAGAAAATTGAATTCTTTGACTGGTGACAAGTTCATTTTGATATCTCATTTTTTTCAAATAAATCCATTAGAAATTTACATCTTCGTTCGTCAGCAAAAAGGAGATCCCACGATTAGTTCAATTAGTACAGATACAAAACCCTTTAATTACTAGACTATGAAGTACAATACTCATGTATTAATTCAACTAATTTTACATATTGTTTATTCATTGATAATTAATTAATTTTTGAGTATGATAGCACCACAATGTGTTGTTGAAATATTATTAATAAAAGAATGTTAATCTAATTTTTTTAGAAAAAATATTTTTCTACCATTTTTTAGGAAATTATCATAAATTAAACGGTACTAAATTTACGATTGCACTTCAGTTGTTATGTAGTTAGCCATTCAGAGTTAAGAGACTATACTAGTTACTGACGGCATGCCCTCGTGTCACGTAATGAGAGGGATATTCCAGCGAATCCAGCTTGTTTATGCCGATAATATGCAAGTCAAGTAGAGTGAGAGAAAATTTATGAAATAAGAGAGTGCTTGCAATTTTATCATCATTATAGAACAATTTCACATACTTTATGCATAATATTTTTATTGTTTGCTACTTTACAATTGTAATTATTTTCCTCATGTAATAAAAAAAGTAATTCCGAAGAAAAAGAAATTTTTCCATCTTTAAATACTTTAAAATTCAAATGAAACAATATTATATTCAGAAATCATTGATCAGTACAATCAATTCAATGATTAATTTATGAAGGAACATTAATTAATCAGAAGTAATAATAGTGACATTACAATTTATTAATTATATATTTATTCATAAGGAATATTATTGATAAAAGAATTTAATTTGTTTATGGATAACAAATCATTTCAAATATTCGAATTTCTCGTTTTCACTACTATTTTCATAAACTTTAAATGAATTCTTTCATCAATACTCCAAAAAATATTTTCACTTATAAGTAATTAATTACATAATAAGGAAGTACTTTATTTGCTGATATGACTTTGTTTTTGTTGTCAAAGCAGCAGAGAAAATCATTGCGAAATCGAGCGTCGAAGGAGGAATAAGATGACGGCCTATATTACTGAACTCTCTGACATGGTACCAACATGCTCAACGTTAGCTCGAAAACCAGACAAGCTTACTATACTAAGGATGGCAGTTGCTCATATGAAAGCACTTAGAGGTAATGTTTTTCTTTTCGATACATATTGTAAAACACTTGTCTTGTTTACCTTTAGATACTTTATTTAATTAATACATTGTATTTAATGTTTACGCTCAACGATAAAAATATTTATCTTCCTGATTCAATATCAATGGTACTCCAAGTTGACGTTTAGTCCACAGTAATCATTTGCAGACGATAACTTGTTGCTGGTAGTTTTGCGATTTGGCACGTAAACCTGAAGGTATACTAGTAACACAGTTCTAAAGAGGTGATATTTAAACAAATGTCTAAATGATGCTTGCTCTACTATGAATTCAATGGTGATGTTAATTTAATAACAGCTTCTTCTGGTTAAAATAAAAATAGAAAGGGTCACTAAATGGATTTATATTTTAATTCAAGTATTTTTTCAAGTATCTAGTTAATGAAATATTAATATAACTCAATTGATAGTAGAATTAAATCCATTTTTTCAATTTTATATTTGATGTTTAAAAGCTTCATATTTATGATGAATTTTTAGGAATTTTAATATCATTGATGACAATATGATTAAATAAATATTTGCCAAGTTGAAACCAAAGTTAGAGAGAAAAGCAACGGACCAATTTACCAGGAAACGTTGATTATGGCCTGGGGCCATCAGGAGTGGATATATCGAATGCAGAAGACACAATATATACTTCCGGTGGCATGGGTGGAGTTGCCGGTCATCTTCTTTGGTCATACATGCGTAACTACACATACACAAACACACACGATTAAATGTCGTTGCGTGTAACCATGGGCAGTGAGATTGCTGCGCGTATCGGTGGAACGTCGCATTGTTTATAGCTACTTCTCCTCTTTCCCGACAACAGTGCCACTGAATACAAATTGCTTTAAGAGAAGGATTCTCCTGTTCTCTTTCTCCTTCTGTCTTTGACTTTCTATGTACTTGGAGGGAGGCATCGCACACGTCCCACGATTACTTGAGGTAGAGAGTTTGAGATCGATGATCACGAAAAAAAAAAATCGTTTTTTTTTCCTTCCAACTGTGAATACAAGTGTCATCATTTTATTCTATTAAAATTCAAATGACTCTATTCCATGTCATGTTAAGTTGGATTTTTTAGCCTGGGAAAGGATACACTTGGAGATTATTCTTCCAGAGATTTTTTTCATCTTGTTGAGGAAGTATCTGGATGTTTAGCCTGGATGGAAAGTAATGGTAACGAAGGTCACGATCAGAACCTTTCATAGATCTTGTTTGGAAGTCGTTAAAGTTCTTCTTCCCGGAATTTCTCGCATATCGGTACAAAGATCGCATCGCTTGCACTCTCGCTGCCTCCCAGGATCCTGTCCGCTTTGCAATTCCGATCTTGAACATTGATATTTACCCATACTTACGGTATTAGTAAATTTCGGTGTTTTTCGTTCATAAATTGAGTCCTTAAATTGCCTGATATTTAGCTAGTCCTAAAAAGTTCTGTTAAAACATCTCATTAAATTAGATTTATCACACGTTTAATTATCTGTCACTGAACAATTGAATTATTCATTGTTTGTAGATACATAATTTAATGTTACAGGTACGGGTAACACAAGTGCGGATGGTACTTATAAACCATCCTTTTTAACTGATCAAGAACTCAAGCATTTAATTCTTGAAGCTGCTGATGGCTTTCTCTTCGTTGTTAGCTGTGACACTGGCAGGATCATTTATGTTTCTGATTCAGTTGCGCCAGTTCTCAATTACACACAGAGTGAATGGTATGGTTCAAGTTTGTATTCTCAAGTTCATCCCGATGACACGGAAAAGGTTCGTGAACAATTAAGTGCTGCTGAACCTCAACAATCTGGAAGAATACTCGATCTCAAGTCTGGAACTGTTAAAAGAGAAGGACACCAAAGTTAGTAGTCATCTATGTATTATTATTCAAAACATGTTGGTATTGAATGAGATTAAATAAAATAAAAAATTTAGCTTCAGTAAGACTCAGTATGGGTTCAAGAAGAGGCTTTATATGTCGTATGAAGGTTGGTAGCCTTCAGACCTCCGGTGACATGGCTGCTTCGCAAGGGCTACATCGTTTAAAGCAAAGAAATTCACTAGGGCCACCAGGGAGAGACGGTCAAAATTACGCCGTTGTTCACTGCACGGGGTATATCAAAAATTGGCCCCCCAGCGGTGAGTTTGGTATGGGACTTTACCATTTATCCATTGTTCCTATCGGCATTTTTTACAAACTATTCGTGATTCAACTTCATTGCATTACAAGACTCCTTGTATTACTGCACATAAAAATTATTTATGTATGCATGATATTTATCTTTCCTTAATTATTCATTTATTAATTTTGCAATCTTACTTGTACACAATTACATATATTACTGGCCAAAATTTTTTTTAGTTTGATTTTTTCTAAAAGTTAAATAACTTAAAATTTAGTCAGTTATATAAAATAATTGCTTACATAGCAATATTAGAATTAATATTGATGATAATCATAGAAAGAGTAGTTAATGTCAGCCAGCAGGGAACAGTGGACTAATGAGTTATTCTGCGCTGTAGGTGATTTTGTTACTCCATGTGTACCAGGTGTGGGTTTAGGTGAAAGAGGTGTTCAACCTGGATCAGACGCTGTGGTAGCTGAAGATGGAAATACTCATTGCTGCCTTGTTGCCATTGGACGACTGCAAGTCACCAGTACACCAAACACGAGTGATTTAGCTGGTTCCAATAGTAATAATGGTAAATAATAAATAAATTTATTTATACTGTAGTATTTATAATTTATTTGAATCACTTATTACTAACTGTATTTCCAGAATTTATTTCACGCCATTCCGCCGAAGGTAAATTTACATTTGTAGATCAAAGGGTTGGTGGTATATTAGGCTACACACCATCAGAACTTCTGGGCCATCAGTGTTATGAATTTTTTCATCAGGAAGATTTACCACACATGCGAGAAAGCTTTGATCAAGGTATGTAGCTAGAATACAATCATTATCGGCTATATTTATGTATATTTATATCTAATATAATCTTCCATATAGTTCTGAAACTCAAAGGACAAGTAATATCAGCGGTTTACCGATTTCGTGCTAAAAATCGTGATTGGGTGTGGCTTAGAACATCAGCATTTGCTTTCCTCAATCCATGTTCACAAGAAGTAGAATATATTGTCTGTACAAATACAACTGCAAAGTAAGTTTAATCTGATAACATATTAGTAGAAAGAGGTTTCTTTCTTTATATCTGTTAATATTAATAAATTTATTTTATTTAGATCACTTCATCCTGGAGCAGAAACACAAACAGAAAGCGAGACAATAACTCCGTATGGACAACATAGTTTGGATTATTCATTACAGCGACATCATTCTAGAGAATCAATGTACCCTACACACCATATGATGCAGCATCCGGCAGCAGTAGCGACTGCTGGTCCACAGCAACCTCGACCTGCTAGCACTCAAAATGTATATCAAGGCTATGAATCAACTCAATCACCCATTGCTTACGGCTCACCTAATCAACAAAATACATCAACGACAGTATTGAATAGAATGCAAAAACCTACTGCTAATACTTCACCTACGCCGGTTCAACAAGGGTGGAATATTGGTCGACAAGTAGGAAACATTTTGAGAGAAATTTATTGATCTTTCTTAACGTCACGTGGAACTAAATGGTTTTTGTTATTTTTAGCAACCGGTAACCGAAGGTTATCAATATAATCAATTAAGTCCTTCAAGATCACCTAGTGGCCCTACTTATACACAATTGAGTAGTGGAGCTAGAACACCAGCAACCCAATATCACTCAGCTACAACAGTGCCTAATAATCCAAGTAAGTAATTTAATTTATTATTTTTGCGGAATTAAATTGAACAAAAATTAATAAAAATTAATAATGATAATTATTAAAGGTATGTGGACTTGGCAAGGTCAACAACATCAAACTCAACCGCAAGATGGAGGCCAACCAAATGCTCAGGTCGCCGGTCCACCTCAAGCTACTCATGGTCCTCAGGGTGCCACCGGACCCCAACCTCAAGAATTATCAGACATGTTACAAATGCTTCAAGAACAAAGTGGACCTACTGGGTTCGAAGAGCTTAATATGTTTAATACAAATTTTGAGTAGCAGTAATGAAGATTTATTGATAAAGACTTTAAATTGTTCTATTCTATGGAATATCGTTAGCATTAAATCTAAACGTCTTTTCCTTTTCGGGAGACATTCCTTAAAAGTAAATAAGCTCCCGTATTAATACACCAAAAGGTTTGTAATTAGCTTTTAAAGAATTGTCTTTGCTAATTAATATGACGGGACTAGATACTTTATAGAAACACAATCAGCTGAATGAATTCAAAATGCGCACATTTATATTCCGTCTTTCATAAAAGCAAAGACGTATAAATATATATAAAAATGCATATAAATATAAATATGATTTTAAAAGAATTTTTAAAATGACAATGACGCGCAAATGAAATTGAATATTACTGATGATATTACGAATTCGAATGCATTCACTTTTGAATGAATTATTTTTTATTAGAAAAAAGTAATTATGTACGTAAATTTACATGATATTTTATCATGTAATGTTGTCATTAGTTATTAATTGAACTAATAATAAGTTAGTACCGATCATCCATTTTTTAAAGTTATACTCTACTAGTAATCAAAAATTTTTCATTTAGTATTAAATTATTTAAATAATTGCATACTATGGAATAATTGAATAATATCATTTGATATTAACGCATTAACATTTTTATTATTATTATTATTTTTTAGCATCAGAACTACGTAATCGTAACTTTTAATTAAAGCTTGATGATAGTTATCGTACGACATTAGCCTAAAATTACTGTTAATGAGTCCTTTGTAATTATTACAGTGCAATTTTACTTTGAGAAAAAATTTACAGAAAATCGTTCAGATACAAGAATGTACAAAATTATATAACTGACACACTTTGCTTGTCTATGGGACACCGTTTTTAGATACTTATAAGAAAACAAAATATAGATAATGTTACCGCCTGCAAAAATAAGTGATCACTTGTGATTTGTTGTATTTGTACATGTATAACAATTTTTCAGATACAATGAAAATGATGAAACTAGCATATCATTATGGAAAAAATAAGAAAATTAGAAAGAAAAATTTTTCACCAATGTACGGGTTATGAATATTAGTTGTATTTTTTTTTCAAATCGTCTCACAACATTATTTCCTGCAGTATCCTTCACCTTCATATTTTTATATTTTATACACAACTTAGAATACTTGACTGAAACAAGAGAAATGAAGTAATCTGAGAATATAAAAGATTATATTATTCATATTTATGACTATACAAAATTTATAATTTTAACTTGACAGCTGATTTATTCACTTTTTCTTTCTTATTTTTCACTTTTTGAGTTTTTGATTTAATAAGTTCCGTGACTTCATCTTGCAGTTGTGTAAAGAAAGCTGTAGATGATTTTATAGCTTTGTGATTAGTCTCATCTACTTTCTTAATATTCCTATCCTTGGTTAATTTTTTAAGCATAGAGCTCTGTGCTTCTTGCATTTGTTTCTTATTCTTCTTTAATTTATCAGATAAAGTACTATTCTCTTTCTGTTCTTTTGCTTTAAACCGTTTACGTTGAAGTGATTTTTTCTTTCTTCTCTCACGTTTCATATCTGTTTTGGTTCTCTCCGATTTTCCAATAAGATCACCACGATGCTTAGCTAGAATAAAATTAAAAAAATATATTTTCCAGTGTGAAATAAATAATTAATAAGTAAACATAATTATTTATTGTTTTATAATATATACCTTGAATTTCTTCTGGCGCTAAAAGTGCTGCATCAGCCGTAGCAACTGGTGCAACTTCTTCCATTGTAAAAGCAGGTACGTTGCTGATAATTTTGACTTCAGGTTGAGCCTACAAAATTATTAAAAATTATTTAATCTGTTATTTTTTAATGTAATCAATAATAAAATCATTACCATTTTCGGTGTATAGTGGAAGTTTGATAAGGCATCTAATTTTTGGAATAATGAATTCATCATTCCACGAATCTCTTTATGCTCTTCTGGCTCTTCCTCCTCTTTCTCTTGGTTTTCAGGATTTAGAGCTTCTTTTTGTTTAAGATAAGCTTCTTCATAAATTTCAGCCAAACTTTTTTTGCTCTTCTCTTGATCCATAATTAATTTCTTTTTATACTCCATTGGTGTTTCAACAGGCTTGAATTTTTTTTCAACATCATCCCAAGCCCTATCTTTAATTCGTTGCATTATGATATCTTCAAGCCTTAAAGTTGTTTCTTCTGTTATAATTGGTGCTGGTCTTGTTGTTACATCAAACTCGACATATTCTTCAAGTAGAGAATTTTGCGGACGACCAGTTGCTGATACTTCACCTTTTAATTGCCAAGGCTTGTCAGAAATAGCTTCATTTTCTAGCTCTTCAATTCTTTTTTTCAATCTTTCTTGTCGATTTTCAAGTGTAGACTTTATTTCATTTCGTCTATCATCTGATTCATCGTTATCGCTATTGTTCAAGTCTGAAGTACTCTCTGCTTTTCTAATTTTTTTTTTCATTCTTTCATTATTCTCGTCATTTTTATCAGATTCATAGTCTTCATCAGAATTATTTTCTGAACAATTATCTTCTTCATTCTTGTCCTTCTCTTTTTCAGAAACATTTTCATCTTCACTATCTGGGCTATCAAAAAAATCAGTATACTTTAATGTTCTACCATTATCATCGTCTTCCGAATCATCTCGGAATAAATCAACAGACTCTTCATCAGACTCATCATCTGCTGTTTTGGATTGTTTCTGGTCTTCACGATTGAGATACTCATCTAAATCTGTTAGTTTAAAAAATTTATCATCAACAATTGACGATTTTTTATGACGTTTAGATGACTTTGGTTTAGTTTTGTCTTTCTGTTGTATCTCATCCAGACCAAAATCAAAATCCATGTCATCATCACTGTTAGATTCATCATCTTGAGCGTTTTCTTCTTTTTCAGATTCATGCTCTTTTTCTTCAGTATTTGCTTCATCATCCAAAACAGTATCCTCCGATTTTGTTAAACTTACAGGTAATGTTAAATCGCTTTTTTTTGATAACACTCGAGAGACCTCAGTGAGAAAATGTGTTAATTCTGATTCATTTTGTATTTCTATTTGTTGCCAAATCTGTTCTTCATCAAAGTCTTGAATAACAAGCTCAGGAAGAGCATTATTTTTATGGTTAGAATTTAATTTTGTAAAATCGTACAAACATTTTGTTGTTTGTCGAAATTGATTTGCTAAATGATCTTGAACACTGAAAAAATTCAGAATAAGAAAATACAAACTCGTTCAAAATAAATCATTGACATGAGTCTGGTTTGTTTAGACAGTACTATAATTTTACATACCTCAAGAAATTTTCGAAATTCTGCGTATTCTCATCAATTGTTGTATAAACTTCGTTTAGGATATTAATGTTCTCCATTTTATCCTAATTTATATTTAAAAAATTATTTATTAAATAACAATAAACATTTCAAAGACAGACTCAAAAACACAACACGCGTGTTTGGAAATTTACAAAACATAACCTCAAATCTCTATGATAACGCATGCACATTTATCTGCAGTTGATACTCAAATTAGCAATATAATTAAACGCCATCTAGAAATTTTGTTTAAATTAAAAAATGAGAAGATCGATAAGGTAAAAAACCGTCACACACGTGGTTTACATCAATAGTGATCAGTTAAATTTCATTCTTTCGTTGTTAATTCAAGACTTATATCATAAATAAATTATCATAAACTTTAAATCATAATTAATTGTTTAAAAAAATAGTACTGAGTCTCTGTGGATTAAAATTTGAGGAAAATGAAGCTTAAAAGTGACATAAAAGAAAAGCTCAAGCGTACGTCGACAAATGGTTATGGTTTTGTTACAACAAAATCAATCTATCGCAGAATCAAAAAAAGTTCTCATGCCGGTCCAAGAGTCTTGAATAAAAAGCTCAATTCTTTATATTCATTCTCTGATGAAAATGTATTTTATTTTTTTTTAATATCGTAATCTTAGTTGATAATCATGTAGACAATTAATAATGCTAATTTTTTAGGAGACAAGAAATGTTAAACAGGATTCTAAATTTAATCCAACTATTATTACTATGGATTCAGAATCATCATCATTATTAACTCCAAGTTTGCTACTGCGTAAAGATAACATTAAGCCTACACAATCAATGAGAATAAAAAATAGTATTGTCAGGAACTTCAAAATATCTTCATCAACTAACTATAAAAATCACTCGAAAATTACAGTAGCTCAATCTATCATCCCTGACTCGATTGAACAGAAGCTTGAAACTGAAGAATTACTTCAGAATGCATTAATTGAATCGGATGACAGTGGCAATTGTATTAACAACAACAGTAATAATAATACATCTCTCCAATGCATAACAAAAAGAGTATGTGACTCAAATTCATCAGATAAAAGTATTAAGGAGCATGTTATCTGGCCTATATTTTTCTATAGCTTCAGAAACAAGGTTATTTGTGTAATGCAATCCGGATGTAAATTTTCATTTCATGGTAAATTAAAAATTCAGATATTGTATGGAGCCGTTGAAATTTATGGAGCAACATTAGATCATTCTAATACCACAACACCTCGTGAACTGTATTCACCGAGAGGAACAAGTTTCATTGAAATAAGAGCAATACAATCTAAAACTAGTGCATTAAATGATCAATCTTCCATGGAAAAGATTTTGAAAAAAAATAATCTAGATCCTGATGATGTTTTGAAACATTGTAATACTGTTGGTGATATCAAAAAAGACTGGGCTATATTTATTTTACAAAATTTTGATAACAATTTGATCACGTTTTTAGAAGAATATTTTTCTCATAAACTTTTTCCATCTCTTCAAGATTCTTCAGATTATTCTTGGACTGATCGCAGAAGAGCGGAATTTATTTTACAAGCTCATATTTTTATGGAAGATGATGATAAGAAGACTATTAATGTAAGTAATTTTAAAAATGTTGCTAAAAAACTCTTACATAAATGGGAAGTTAATAAAAATATGAGAGCATTAATGGCTGGTGGAAAAAATGTTGGAAAATCTACAAATATGCGATACCTTGTAAATAAATTACTGGAAAAATGTGAAAAAGTAATCGTATTAGACTTAGATCCTGGACAAAGTGAATTTACACCGCCAGGTTGTATTTCATTGAATATCATTGAATCTTATCTTCTGGGTCCTAATTTTACTCATCTTCAAACACCATATTACCAAACCTATGTTGGTGGAGTTAATGTTACTTCTTGCCTAGCTAATTACATTCAAGGAGTGAAAATATTAATAGACTGTTTAAATAAATATTTAAATGACTATCAACAACCATTGCCAGTTGTTGTGAATACTATGGGGTTTTGCAAAAATATTGGTTGGGATATTATGTGCTATACAATTAAATGTATTAAGCCAACAGATGTAATTCAAATTAAATCATCAATATTAAAAAATAATTTCGAGCGATTATTAAGTTCTGATACCATTAACAATGAGGTAAGATATATCATTAAAATTATATTTATTAAATGATTAATTGTTTTAATAATTTTTTTTTGCTTTTCAGCCGAATATTTGGTCAATTTCAGAAATAGTAGATTCAGCAGTTGACCATGAACTTCACAACATCAACTCAGAAACAGAAACAAAAAGTAGAACTGGAGAAATATGGAATATCGAACCTCATCAGCAGAGAGAGATTGCTATGCTTTCTTACTTAAGTCAAATAGTTAAAAAAGATATCAAAACTTGGGCTGGAAGAAATACTTTATTAAGTATTAATGCAGTTATTCCATATGAAGTTCCATTTGATTCGATAAAAATCTCACTAGAACCTCCCACTACCACTTCTGTTTTATCTGTAATTAATGGAAATATCGTTGCATTATGTGGTGATAACATTTTTGATACTCAACAACAAGAATCCTCTGAATTACAATCTCATTATCCGAAAGTTTTAAGCCGAGCACCACTAACCACATGTTATGGTTTTGGTAAGTTACTTATATTGAGTAAAGTATCAAATATTTTTATACTTTTGTTAATCCATTTCATTTAACATCAAGAATAGTTGGAATAATTAATTATGAACTTTTATTTATAACTGTATGTTTTAAATTCTGTATTAACAGTTTTCGTGGTGTTTATGTAAACAGGTATAATACGTGGAGTCGATATGGAGAAGAAGAAAATTTATGTAAATACTCCACTGTCAATTTCCATGTTAAGTCATGTTAATTGTTTAATTGGTTGTACACCAATTCCTGTAGGATTACTAAATTTAAAGAGGTTTGGAATTCCTTACACAAGAGGTGAGTGTGATTTACCTACTAGTCAGGATCCTAGGAGAGGATACTTCAGAATGAGACATAAAAGGGACACAACAGTTCTATCAGCTGAATAACAAATAAATTGATAAACTGTTTTACAATATTTTATTAGAGAAAAATTTTTTTATTTACTTCAAAACATTGAACTAAAAGTTTTAATCTTTTGTTAAGTAATTTTATTTAATAACAAAATATAAAAATTATTGACAAATAAATCAAATACATATTTTCTACTATACATTATGTATACAAAAAATATAATAATAATTGAAAATGTTAATTAATTTTGATCAGAATATTTCATGAAAAACTCATCAAAAATGTACAATTTAATAAAAATGGAAAACATATAGACATTTATTTTTCATGAAACATTACAGGAAATTTTAATTAACAATTTTTTAATTTCATTTGAAATTTAGGAAATATACAAAAAAGAGGAAAATTGATGTATAAAAAAAATAAAAATTTAACATTCAAGGCAACATTCCGGGTAAAATGTATGCAGGCAGTGAATAAGGTCAGGGTGGCTTTAAATATTCTTTCATGTAGTTGATGCTACTTCGATGTATAAGAAAAAAAGGTACATATGGCAAGCTTGAGTTATCTTGAAGCTTGTTCGTGGTGAGAAAGGGATAGGAGTCATAAACGAAAAAAGGGGACTGATGAATGAAAATGTAGATTCACGTTTGTCGAGTTAACAGCGTACATAGAAAAGAGGCGACAGTTTCCCTCTCACTTACACTTGGCTCGGAAACATTCATTCATAAAGTTTGTTTCAACCTCTACTCAGTATTGAATATATATATGTATATCTGAGGGGGTTGAAAAGCACTGGGACAGAGATATTTGGCCAGTAAAAAGGGTTTTACTGTGATACGGTGAACTCGATAGTACAACGACAGGTGTTGTTGCGCGCGTCTAAGAACGTGCAGGGTTTTCAAGAGGAGATAAAAAGTACTCTTTTTTTTTCTCAAGTACAAGCTACCGACAAAGCTTTTTACAAACCCATACAGCCTGTTGAAAGTCTTTGAGGTCGCCTTTACCATATAATCGTTTGATTTATGCAAAATTTTTTTTTTTTAAATAAAGTGTTTTTTTTGCACAGAAACAATTTTGATTTCAAGTGCTTTTTAACGTCGATATTATGATGTCAACAAAGAGTAGTAGAGGAGGTTATTCAACCTGCTGACATTCCGGATAAATTGAGAACGAAACACACTAGGGAATAAAAAAATGGAGATAGCAAGGTGGTAGAAGAAGAGAAAGATATGAAATGAAAGAACAGTTTAGGAAAGAAAAACTGTAAGGTAGGCCAGGGGTGAATAATATGCGGATAAAAAAATATAGCTGGGTCAGTGTTTATTATTCTTTTTCACTGACAAAAAAACCAGGTGATTTTTATTTGGTTGTTGACGTTAATGATCATCAGAGGTACTTAAAAAATTGTTTATCAATAAATTTATATCCTGAATCACTTTTTTTATGAAGTATCAAATATCTATATGAAAATGAAGACCTTTAATTTATTTTATATTTTTTATTGCAGTTAAGAAATGAAGTTATGCTATTTTTTTTTTGTTGAAATATCTCGTGAGAATGTCTGAACAGAGCTTTATTACCCATAACATGATGTGTATAAAGACGGGGTGGAGGCATAAAACGGACAGAAAGTCTTGGACCAGTACAGTTAAGTGCGTTAGGCGTAAAAGTCTTGCAGGACCGGTTTTCAAAATATAGCGTGGAAAAGGTGAAATCATACTGTCAGAGGAGATGACCTCAAACCAGTAGATTTCACCTTTCGCACCCTGTATATATGTCATAACAGTCATAAACGCAAAAAGGCTTGAAAGATCCAAACAAAGAATCTACTTTTCCTCTTTTGAAACTTTATAAGATTAGTAAAAGTCTAAACATTTTTTTCATGTTAGTTGGAATCTCTGTAAGAAGGAAAACATGATCATTACGTGTATCAAAGATTAGCCAAAGTTAAAAAGAAAATAAGGATAAGGATTGATAAAAATGCGAATAAGCTCCAATTACGTTATAATTTGTCATACTTGTTCAGTTGTGAAGGTAAGATTTAAAGAAAAAGGATCGAAGTTCATGGTTCATTTCATGATAACTTTTCTATTTGCTATTACATCATACTCAGATAGACCAAGTACATATGAGTGTTGTATGCTGTATCTAGGGCAGAACTGGAAAAAGAGAGATAAAAAAAATATGTGTATAAAAAAAGTAAAAATAAAGGAAATGGAGAGAAACATCCCCAGGACACCATAAGAGACCGCATGAGAGGTTTCTAAAATGCTCAGTGCGCGGATTTTCAATACATACATCGATAGCCCAACGAAAAAGATAGAGATTGGTAAAGAGTAAAGTATGTATGTATGTGGATATATGTTTCGTGGGAGGAACGTACGACAAAAGTAGTGTCGACCGGAATATCTGCGAAAGCTTTGAACGACGACGCGCATGCGTGGGATGAGCATTTTCAAACAACCGCCATCTTTATCCTTTCCTTCTCTCCCTCCCCCGCTTACGAAGAGGGCGCATTATTTTTTTTCTTCGGTTACTAGAGAAGGTGTGTTTTTATCCTGAATGCCCGCTGTTACTCATGCTTTTCCTGGTAAAAAAAAAAATGTTTTCTCAAATTCTATGCCCATTTATTTTGACTTCATGTTCGTCTAAAAACCATGAAAGGTCGAGGGACTAATAGCCGTAGGGATCTTGAAGGAGAAATTGAGGGAAAATGGTTAAAGCTCAAGGATTATCTTTGTAATAGAGCTGCAAGGCCAGCTAGATAGGAGAAGACTATATGGGATAGGATTTAAAGCCGTAGAGGGCGTAGTGATATGAAGAGGTAGACAGAAACATGGAAAAAGGGATAGATCGTATAAGTGATACACAGCAGGAAAGAGGAAGCTTTATCATACCCAGGAGGATGTATGTCTGCAGATACTCCACTCGCGCTGAGAGGAGTAAAGGCTTTTCTCGTATTCTATTGATTTTTCCAAAAGTTTCGGTGGTGGGAGTAGTTGACTGTCGGTCGTGCGCGCGAACGTGCTTGTGTCGGCCTTGGTGTTAGTAAAGATCGCAGTGTGCTCACTTGCTATCCCTCTTCGTCTCCACTACTGCTGCTTCATCCACCTCGTGGCTCTACGCTCCTCCTCTACTCTCCCCCGCGTTCTCGTCCGGTCCCACAATTGCGGGCTCACCCCCCTTACCCGTCCTCTTCTCCCGCGCATCGAACAATCTCGTGTACTCACGTACAGAACACGCGCAGACTGACAACACAAAGGTACTAACTTTTTCCGGAACCCTTTTGTTAAAAAAAAAAAAAATTCACTTTGACAATGTTTATATAAATTCTTTAAAATCCTTTATTATCTATATACATATATCTTTTATCATATGTTTTTACTCCAATCATATATTTTTTTAATTTTTGGAGTAAATAAAAATTTATAGGATATTTAGGTTAGGAAATGAGTATTCTTAATTGAAAGAGGTTTAAAAAATTTTTTTTATTCACTTTACAAGACAAAAAGATTTTTTTTTTTAAAACGAATGATAAAAAAAATGTTGAAAAAAATCAAAAATATAAATGAGTTTCTCTTCTTACGGCCCTGTAAGTAAATTCCCACCCACCGGCCGAACGGCAGGGTCACACTCACGCGTGTACATCAAGGATGTATTTGCGCGCGCGTGTTGCGCACACAGCAATAGAGTACAACACGCTCACGCATCACGAGTCACTCGCACACTATTTTGCAGGTTATGTTGACTACAGTTATTGCATGTATTGGAGTAACCGAGCCGAGTCGGAGATAAACGAACTTTGGGGCGGGCAATCACTGTGGATTTCGGTAGATACCGACTGTTGTCGACTCAATACGACGTTGAACGAAGCGAAAACCGACTGAGTCCGAACGACACTGTAGCACAGCGGAAAGCAGTGCGTCCGAATCTAGTGCCGTGGTGGCTGGGTTACTGTGTTGTCTCTGTGAAGTTATACATGTTTAGTGCGTGTGTTCTCTTGGAATTTCAGGATAACCAGTGAATAAAGTGTGGAAACTAGATTCGGAAGTGAATAAACTAAAGATTGGAAAATAAAGCCACAAGCAAACGACACAAAATAAATATTTATTAGATTATAAAACCTGTCGAGTTGTGGAAAGCTAGCAAGAGACCGCGACGGCCATGGCTCGCCGTCGCGAGGACACCGACGACGGTGATTAAAGCGTCGACGGGTGCGGTACCAGAATGAAAAAAGCTAGATAAATAAACAAAATAACTTCAGCAAGAATTATTCTTCATTTTAAAACCAATATTTAACCAAATGCAACAATTAGTAACGCTAGTTTTTGCTTTCATCTTTATCGAGTCGTAGAACTCTTGGATAATAAGTCGGTAAAGAGTGAAAATCACTTAAAAACACAAGGATTACTTAAGAGTAAGTAGTGAATTGATGCAGTTTTAGAAGTGTACCATTGTGAAATGTTTTTTAAAAATCACGTTAAATTGATATGTATACTGAAAAGTATACATAAGTTTGTCTAGAAATAAGTCGTGTTACAGACTTGGAAGTTGGAGTCTTCTAGTTGGTCGAAAAGTGATAATAAGCTAGACGTGCAAGTGAAGTCAGTGTTTTTAGTTTTGTAAGAATCATCATACAATTGACTTTAATTAGAGAGACATAGCAAAACTTATCCTCTAAGAGGATACACCCGAAATAGAGGGAAGATGAGCGCGCCAAGAAAATCGACGCCCGATCCTTAGCTCATGTTGAAAGTACATTTTACTTTTTTTTCGATTTCTTCTTTGTCTCCAAAAGTACCTCAACCTTGTGGAGGTACCTATATATATCGTTAACAAGGCTTAACGGTCAAAATGCAAGTAGCTACGTTGTTCAGAGAGAGTGCTACTCTGTTGGGTGCCTCTAGTCTTGATCCACCCCAAACTCATCACCAAACTCTTCAACAACAACAACAGCAACATCAAAATCAACAAATTCAACAACAAATACAACAGCAAAACATGGATATGCATCTCCATCATATGCAGCATCATTATAAAATGTAAGTTTATTATTTTTATTTTTTATATTAAGTTTAATAAATATATATGTTAAGTAATTTGAGATTGTTTCTGTACTGAATAATTAAATGTTTATCACGGTTTTTAAAAGTTTAATGACTTATTACTTTTACAAAGCGTTCACTTATATATTTTTTAGCAATAAAAGCTTGAAATGGAGTTTTTAAAGGTCGATAATTAAAAAGAATTAAAGCATGTACACTACAAAAGCCTTTTTTGTAATAAAAATGAATTGGTAAACACGAAAGCAGAAAGTTTATGTACATATTAATTTATTCAAGTAAAACAATCGGATGATAATAATTATTTGAGGTGTTGAAATGACAATATGAAAATAATTTGATGCTTTTTTGATTTGTTACCAGCTTTGAAATTCATGAAGGAAAGTTAAATGAAAACATGAAGATTTTCAAAGTATTTGTCATATTATCATGAATACTCAACATAACTTTTGTTTTAATTATTTTGTATTTTTTAATATGCTTAAATGGACGCATAAAAAACAATACGTCTGGATCTTTAATGATGTAAAGAATACTCTAAATTTAGATGTTTGACTAGCGGAAGAATACGATCACATTTGTTTATTGCAAATCAAACAGCGTCCTCAAAAAACAGTTAAGAGTTACAGAAATAGGTTTTTCTTTTTTCTGAAAACCTATTAAAAAGATGGGTGAAATATTTATGATTTCATAAAATTAGAATGGAGTTTTTTGAAGTTCCACGTTTTTGTCAATTAAATATTCGTCGAATAAAATATAGGCGGCAAAATGTATTGTGATGGCAAATTAGATGAGATTTTCAATGATGACTAAATAAAAAAATATGTTACAAATCTTACATACATGTGTGTAACTTGAAGATTTTAAAAAGAGTGGTACCAACGAGTAAAAGATAAAACGCGCAGCACGACTTACTTCTCACGACCGCGTGACTCACCGCAGTCTCATGACGTAACGACGTTCGACTGGTCGAGGTTTAAGAAGTAAAGTAGAATGATTAGATCCCGTGAATTAAACAAAATATGAATGCAAAAATAATACATAACAATATACTGCAAAAGGGTTTAGAGTAGTAATGATACTTTTCAACAGAATATTATATTTTCATGAAGGATATTATTATCATTAAAAGTTCTTCATTGTTGGTTTTGAGTAAATAAAAGTATTTCTAATCGTGATAGAACTGATGATAGGTTTTAATTATAGCAATTTTATATATTTTTTTAATGATATTATTTTCGATAACGTTATGGATATTTTTCTCACTGTTTTTACAATGAAAAAGATAACTTTTTCTACTATTTCATCATAATACTTTAACCCCGAATTATTCATTCTATGAGAAATATTTTGCTTGTTCTAGACTCAGCATTTACAAACGGTAATTATTTAATAAAAAAAAAAAAACAGAAAATTGGAGCAAAATTCAATTCAATGATCAATTGAAATTTTCAAAGATTATTCATTGAAGAGTTTGAAAGTAAAGTAATGATGTGTTGACTAAATTTTATACAAAATTTTAAGAATGACACTCTTTAATATTAAATAAGCAGAAAAAAATATAATGAAGAGGTTGAAACATTGTAGCAACAAATTGCACATCCATATTTTTCTTGACTTAATTGCTTAAGGATTTCGTTTAGTGTATAATACATTTAATAGGTATATATATTTATAATAGCGTATAACTACATTACAAATAATAACAATAATAATGATAATGATAATAACGATAATGATATAATATAAATAATGTGGCGAGATAATTGTGTCGGAGAATTTTCCTGGGAAATGTGTCGACGTTTAATTGGTACGGGATGAATGAGCCACGTGTTGATTATCTGCTGGCCTAACTGTCTTCTATATGTGCATGCACATGCAACGTAACGTCAATTATATATCCACGAATGACCAGCTATGAATTGATATTACGAGAGTAATAAAATCATCATTGTAGTTTAATTATACGTAACTTCCTCTTCAATGTTGTATAGTACTAACAAAACTGGTTATTTATGCACTAAATCTGTGCTTATAAACATTAATTTTGATGTTAAATCAACCCCTCCTTTAGTCATTTTATTTTGTTTTCTTGACTTCTTAGTATTTAGCTATCCTTGAACTTGAATTGAAACAGAAAAAAATGTATCTGATTGGCGAGATTGAATGGCCGCGTTTTTCTTGTTACTTTCATTTTTATTACACCATTCATTCGCTCTCGACGAATTGTCTACGTCTACGCCAAACGATTTCGGGCAGATTGGGTGGAATAAAGCAAGAAAAACATTTGTCAGAATGTTGAGATATCGTCACCCTCTACATACATATACTAGAAACTAGAAGAAGACAAATAAAACGAATGTACGCGTATCCATTCTCCGATAAAGTTCTTTCACCTTCTTTTTCTTCTCTTCTTTCCTTTTTTCTTTTTTACAATCCTAGGAGGTCAAAGTCGTTTGCTCGCTTTAGGTGGGCAACTTTTCTTCAAAAATAAAAAAAATCACTAAAGTATATACCTATAATGTCTTTAAAATGTTTTCTCTTCCCTACTATTTTACCTTCGTTTATTTCACTCAGGTTTTTAAAAATAAGGTCAATACTTTTATAGCTAATTCTAGATTTTTTTCGTTCTTTTTATCAATTTCACGTCTATTGAGCAACCGTTGCATCTTCATTCAATTTTTGTTTTTATTTTTTTCTTTGATTTTGTTTTCCCTTCGAAACACTTCATATTATTTAAGATTTTATTTTCAATTTAAACACAAATAATTCTTATATTATCATTACTTTTCATTTTCTTAATTTCAAAAAATTGGTTTCTGTTTGTTCACTTTCTCGATATTTAAAGTTTCAATCCAAATTATAGAAATTATCTAAAATTAAAATGACACCCCATTATAGCACGCTTTATGAACAGATAATTTTATGTATAAAAAAAAAATAAAAAGAAGAAATACATGTATATATTGATGCCAAAGTAGGTTATTTATATAGCGTGCAAAGCCTTAGGGTCTTTATAACTTCACGACACATAATGAAATGTATAAAAAAAAAGATAAAGATAATACAACTCCTAATTGTTGTACTGAAAAGAGCAGAGATTCGATAACATTGTTGATGATTTGTGTGACTCGTGAAAAATTGCAGTTTCTGTGTAACTCTATTGTCACACGCGCGTTATGCACTTGAAGATTATTTCACGAGAACACAGAGAAAGAGAGAAAAAAAAAGAGAAAGGTAGGACTCTGAAGTAAGGAGTAAAAAACGTGTATGCACGCGAACTGACGTGTTAAAGTTCTATCTCCCCTTTATACTTCGAACGCGTGTTTGCATGCACATCGCGACAATGCGGCGACGGGCGTTGTCCGTGCTGTACTGTACGACTCAACTTGTGGTAAATAAAAACTTACTAAAAAAATATGTGACAATATAAGGTATCAGAAATAAACAATTTATTACAAGGTGTGAAAAAAATGTCATTATTTCATTAATTACTTCTACTTATATTGACGATTAATTATTATTTCTCAAAATACTATCATCAACTATGCTAAACAAGTTTTAGTGATTAAACATATTCATTCAGTGATTATCTTAAAATCAAATAATTTTATTCAATTTAAATAATGTAATTTGTAGTAGATTTATCCTCACATAAAATATGAACTTAAGTGAGAGATTAATTGTACTTTTTCTTTAAATATTTAATTAACCAAAGACATTTATCTCATGTGAGATTGTAAATTGATCAATATCTGAAAATAGTTACCTTCTAATTCTTCTTTTTTAAAATCCTGAAAAAAATAATAGTTCATTGAAAAATTTCTTTATCCAAGGAAATGAATATCAGTCAACAGGTTTTTTTTTTTATTAACCGTTAATCTCTAAGTCTTTAGCATCAACAAAAATGACAATAATTATTCAGAATAGATGAATAAATAATTGACTTAAAAAAAAGAGTGAAATTTTTAAAGTAGCAGAGTACGGAAATATAATTTGGATAGTGGACGACAAGACAAAAATGTAGAGCTTGGATAATTCTTTAATTTAGGAGTATAATTTTTTTACATAATAAAAAATAGAAAAAAGCTCTTGTTAGAATTGGGTAGGAAAAAAAATGAACTTCTTTCTACATATATATGTTTTCCGCTTATGCGAACACGAGCTTCAATGGCTGCATGGGCATAACACGCGTAAATTGCAGGGCCTAGACTTGGCGTTGCTCCCTCGCTCGCTGCTGTCCCGAGTCGAGTTTTTATTTTAGCCTGAAGCGAGAGCGAGTGAGTACGCAATAGCAGGAATGTGTTGTGCACAGAGTGAGGAGGGGAATGCGGGGGATAGCGGAATTATTGGTGGGGGCGGAAAAGGTAGAGAAGAGGAGCAGAGCGAAAAGAGAGAAGAAAAAACGAAGGAGAGAGCTTGTCGGACGAGCTCTCTTGTAGGCCCCTTCTATCGTCTGCCGATCTCTCGGACTCTGCGTTTCGTAACACATCGTCCCTATCTTGACTCCACCACTCCCCGTAGCACTCCTCAACTTCATCTTCTCTCGTCTCTCTGTTCAACCCATCTCACTTCCGTTTCGAATCTTTCGAAACTCACAGGCACATTCCTTCCATCTTGACTTAACTTTACATATCTCCTCATCCTATCCCTCTTTTTCATCTGTCTTCTCTCCTGACCTTGTCTCTCTTTATTTTCTTTATTCATTTTTCCAACGATGATACAAATATAAACTTGAAACACCTGTTTCGGCTATCCTTTTAGCGGTTATTTGAAAATAGATAATCAACGTGAACGGTGTGGTTCGTACAAAACATACGTCATCTTTTAACTGCAATATACAGGCGAGAAAATAGAAAGAAAAAAACAACATAATTAATTATGACTTTAACACTTCTTTAGCTTTCATGGTAAATATGTAAATCCGTTCACTTTCCTAACAAGTGTCCGATTTTCATAATTAGTCTTCCTTTTTCACA